CTTACATTTTTAATGAAATTTGAGCGAAAATTGACTTTTTTCTAAACAATGCAGAAAATCTTTAGAGGTAAGAGGAGCACCCGAATTAAACGGGAATGTGTTCTAGGGTCCCTTAGGCATCTTTCCTGCAACTTTAAAGTAATTTCATTTTTTGGCCAAAATCAAAAAAGAACAAGGGGTTAGCCTTACAATTTTAATGAAATTTGAGCGAAAATTGACTTTTTTCTAAACAATGCAGAAAATCTTTGGCGGTAAGAGGAGCACCCAAATTAAATGGGAATGTGTTCTAGGGTCCCTTAGGCATCTTTCCTGCAACTTTAAAGTAATTTCATTTTTTGGCCAAAATCAAAAAAAAACCAAGGGGTTAGCCTTACATTTTTAATGAAATTTGAGCGAAAATTGACTTTTTTCTAAACAATGCAGAAAATCTTTGGAGGTAAGAGGAGCACCCAAATTAAATGGGAATGTGTTCTAGGGTCCCTTACGCATCTTTCCTGCAAGTTTAAAGTAATTTTATTTTTTGGCCAAAATAAAAAAAAAACAAGGGGTTAGCCTTACATTTTTAATGAAATTTGAGCGAAAATTGACTTTTTTCTAAACAATGCAGAAAATCTTTGGCGGTAAGAGGAGCACCCAAATTAAATGGGAATGTGTTCTAGGGCCCCTTAGGCATCTTTCCTGCAAGTTTAAAGTAATTTCATTTTTTGGACAAAATCAAAAATAGAACAAGGGGTTAGCCTTACATTTTTAATGAAATTTGAGCGAAAATTGACTTTTTTCTAAACAATGCAGAAAATCTTTGGCGGTAAGAGGAGCACCCAAATTAAATGGGAATGTGTTCTAGGGCCCCTTAGGCATCTTTCCTGCAACTTTAAAGTGATTTCATTTTTTGGCCAAAATAAAAAAAAAACAAGGGGTTAGCCTTACATTTTTAATGAAATTTGAGCGAAAATTGACTTTTTTCTAAACAATGCAGAAAATCTTTAGAGGTAAGAGAAGCACCCAAATTAAATGGGAATGTGTTCTAGGGACCCTTAGGCATCTTTCCTGCAAGTTTAAAGTAATTTCATTTTTTGGCCAAAATCAAAAAAAGAACAAGGGGTTGTTAGCCTTACATTTTTAATGAAATTTGAGCAAAAATTGACTTTTTTCTAAACAATGCAGAAAATCTTTGGCGGTAAGAGGAGCACCCAAATTAAATGGGAATGTGTTCTAGGGCCCCTTAGGCATCTTTCCTGCAACTTTAAAGTGATTTCATTTTTTGGCCAAAATCGAAAAAAAAACAAGGGGTTAGCCTTACATTTTTAATGAAATTTGAGCGAAAATTGACTTTTTTTTTTACAATGCAGAAAATCTTTGGCGGTAAGAGGAGCACCCAAATTAAATGGGAATGTGTTCTAGGGTCCCTTACGCATCTTTCCTGCAACTTTAAAGTAATTTCATTTTTTGGCCAAAATCAAAAAAAAACAAGGGGTTAGCCTTACATTTTTAATGAAATTTGAGCGAAAATTGACTTTTTTTCTAAACAATGCAGAAAATCTTTGGAGGTAAGAGGAGCACCCAAATTAAATGGGAATGTGTTCTAGGGTCCCTTAGGCATCTTTCCTGCAACTTTAAAGTAATTTCATTTTTTGGCCAAAATCGAAAAAAAAACAAGGGGTTAGCCTTACATTTTTAATGAAATTTGAGCGAAAATTGACTTTTTTTCTAAACAATGCAGAAAATCTTTGGAGGTAAGAGGAGCACCCAAATTAAATGGGAATGTGTTCTAGGGTCCCTTACGCATCTTTCCTGCAAGTTTAAAGTAATTTCATTTTTTGGCCAAAATCAAAAAAAAAACAAGGGGTTAGCCTTACATTTTTAATGAAATTTGAGCGAAAATTGACTTTTTTCTAAACAAGGCAGAAAATCTTTAGAGGTAAGAGGAGCACCCAAATTAAATGGGAATGTGTTCTAGGGTCCCTTAGGCATCTTTCCTGCAAGTTTAAAGTAATTTCATTTTTTGGCCAAAATCAAAAAAAGAACAAGGGGTTAGCCTTACATTTTTAATGAAATTTGAGCGAAAATTGACTTTTTTCTAAACAATGCAGAAAATCTTTAGAGGTAAGAGGAGCACCCGAATTAAATGGGAATGTGTTCTAGGGTCCCTTAGGCATCTTTCCTGCAACTTTAAAGTAATTTCATTTTTTGGCCAAAATCAAAAAAAGAACAAGGGGTTAGCCTTACAATTTTAATGAAATTTGAGCGAAAATTGACTTTTTTCTAAACAATGCAGAAAATCTTTGGCGGTAAGAGGAGCACCCAAATTAAATGGGAATGTGTTCTAGGGTCCCTTAGGCATCTTTCCTGCAACTTTAAAGTAATTTCATTTTTTGGCCAAAATCAAAAAAAAACCAAGGGGTTAGCCTTACATTTTTAATGAAATTTGAGCGAAAATTGACTTTTTTCTAAACAATGCAGAAAATCTTTGGAGGTAAGAGGAGCACCCAAATTAAATGGGAATGTGTTCTAGGGTCCCTTACGCATCTTTCCTGCAAGTTTAAAGTAATTTTATTTTTTGGCCAAAATAAAAAAAAAACAAGGGGTTAGCCTTACATTTTTAATGAAATTTGAGCGAAAATTGACTTTTTTCTAAACAATGCAGAAAATCTTTAGAGGTAAGAGAAGCACCCAAATTAAATGGGAATGTGTTCTAGGGTCCCTTAGGCATCTTTCCTGCAAGTTTAAAGTAATTTCATTTTTTGGCCAAAATCAAAAAAAGAACAAGGGGTTGTTAGCCTTACATTTTTAATGAAATTTGAGCGAAAATTGACTTTTTTCTAAACAATGCAGAAAATCTTTGGCGGTAAGAGGAGCACCCAAGTTAAATGGGAATGTGTTCTAGGGTCCCTTACGCATCTTTCCTGCAAGTTTAAAGTAATTTCATTTTTTGGCCAAAATCGAAAAAAAGAACAAGGGGTTAGCCTTACATTTTTAATGAAATTTGAGCGAAAATTGACTTTTTTCTAAACAATGCAGAAAATCTTTGGCGGTAAGAGGAGCACCCAAATTAAATGGGAATGTGTTCTAGGGTCCCTTAGGCATCTTTCCTGCAACTTTAAAGTAATTTCATTTTTTGGCCAAAATCAAAAAAAAAACAAGGGGTTAGCCTTACATTTTTAATGAAATTTGAGCGAAAATTGACTTTTTTTCTAAACAATGCAGAAAATCTTTGGAGGTAAGAGGAGCACCCAAATTAAATGGGAATGTGTTCTAGGGTCCCTTAGGCATCTTTCCTGCAACTTTAAAGTAATTTCATTTTTTGGCCAAAATCGAAAAAAAAACAAGGGGTTAGCCTTACATTTTTAATGAAATTTGAGCGAAAATTGACTTTTTTTCTAAACAATGCAGAAAATCTTTGGAGGTAAGAGGAGCACCCAAATTAAATGGGAATGTGTTCTAGGGTCCCTTACGCATCTTTCCTGCAAGTTTAAAGTAATTTCATTTTTTGGCCAAAATCAAAAAAAAAACAAGGGGTTAGCCTTACATTTTTAATGAAATTTGAGCGAAAATTGACTTTTTTCTAAACAAGGCAGAAAATCTTTAGAGGTAAGAGGAGCACCCAAATTAAATGGGAATGTGTTCTAGGGTCCCTTAGGCATCTTTCCTGCAAGTTTAAAGTAATTTCATTTTTTGGCCAAAATCAAAAAAAAACCAAGGGGTTAGCCTTACATTTTTAATGAAATTTGAGCGAAAATTGACTTTTTTCTAAACAATGCAGAAAATCTTTGGAGGTAAGAGGAGCACCCAAATTAAATGGGAATGTGTTCTAGGGTCCCTTACGCATCTTTCCTGCAAGTTTAAAGTAATTTTATTTTTTGGCCAAAATAAAAAAAAAACAAGGGGTTAGCCTTACATTTTTAATGAAATTTGAGCGAAAATTGACTTTTTTCTAAACAATGCAGAAAATCTTTAGAGGTAAGAGGAGCACCCGAATTAAATGGGAATGTGTTCTAGGGTCCCTTACGCATCTTTCCTGCAAGTTAAAAGTAATTTTATTTTTTGGCCAAAATCAAAAAAAGAACAAGGGGTTAGCCTTACAATTTTAATGAAATTTGAGCGAAAATTGACTTTTTTCTAAACAATGCAGAAAATCTTTGGCGGTAAGAGGAGCACCCAAATTAAATGGGAATGTGTTCTAGGGTCCCTTAGGCATCTTTCCTGCAACTTTAAAGTAATTTCATTTTTTGGCCAAAATCAAAAAAAAAACAAGGGGTTAGCCTTACATTTTTAATGAAATTTGAGCAAAAATTGACTTTTTTCTAAACAATGCAGAAAATCTTTGGAGGTAAGAGGAGCACCCAAATTAAATGGGAATGTGTTCTAGGGTCCCTTAGGCATCTTTCCTGCAAGTTTAAAATAATTTCATTTTTTGGCCAAAATCGAAAAAAAGAACAAGGGGTTAGCCTTACATTTTTAATGAAATTTGAGCGAAAATTGACTTTTTTCTAAACAATGCAGAAAATCTTTGGCGGTAAGAGGAGCACCCAAATTAAATGGGAATGTATTCTAGGGTCCCCTAGGCATCTTTCCTGCAAGTTTGAAGTAATTTCATTTTTTGGCCAAAATCGAGAAAAAAAAAGAACAAGGGGTTAGCCTTACATTTTTAATGAAATTTGGGCAGAAATTGACTTTTTTTCTAAACAATGCAGAAATTCCTTTGGCGGTAAGAGGAGCACCCAAATTAAATGGGAATGTGTTCTAGGGTCCCTTAGGTATCTTTCCTGCAAGTTTGAAGTAATTTCATTTTTTGCCCAAAATCGAAAAAAGAACAAGGGGTTAGCCTTACATTTTTAATGAAATTTGGGCAAAAATTGACTTTTTTTTTAAACAATGCAGAAATTCCTTTGGAGGTAAGAGGACCATCACTCGACATTCAAACACCCAATATTTGAACATTTTGGGCAAAGACATTTTGGTGATGCGAATCTTCACAGGAAAATACAGATTGATACGTGGAACAGTCTTACACTATTTACAAATTTAATAACTTTGAATTTTACAAACTAGTGATCCGTCTAAAACTTTCACACAAACAAAAACAAATTAAAAATACATTTTACAGTATCAAAAAAAAAAGGGTTCCAAATTGTAATAACACAATCATTTCTTTGAAGTAGCAGCAAAAATTGTTGCTTAGTATCAACTGGTTTAAGCGCAAATGAAAAACCAGATTTTGGCCAAAGGAACCTCTTGCCCAGGTAATATACATTTACTATTTTTACGGAATGACAATATATTCTCTCTGTATGAACAAAAGATGGCACCCTTCAAAGAGCACACCATGTGCTATAATAATAATAGTTGGTATTTATAATGGACAGGTGTTCAAGTTGCTACAGCATCATTAACCCTGCTCATTGGGCCCATGAAACATTCCAAATACCATCTCAGCTCCCTGGGGAGTATACAGCTTGATGCCGCCATTCTGGCGCAGGCGGTTGAATCCATTTTCATGTATAATTCGGTACTTTTGATGTTTACTCATGAACAAGAATGATGCTTACACAATTTCTGGAGAATTGAAGGGACGTCATCAAGCTACAACAGTAGTTAATAGTGACGTTCACTATGGATCAAAAGATCACTGGTTAAATCCATTCATACCCTTTTCCCCCCAACCATTTTTCTTCTTCAAATGTATAATTTGGATGATTTTAATTTAAGGGAAAGACTCTGAGAACCTGTGTTTTGCAATGATTCCATCGAAACCACTAAAATAGTCATAAAAATGAATTCACCTGCTACTGAAAAAGAAAAATTTGTGCATGGTTGCATGTGTACACCTGCATATGGCACAAAGAACACATGCTCTCAAGGCATAAATAGGATCAGTTGCATTTCTTCCAAATGTAACCTACTAAATTATTATCAAAAAGCTTACTTGGATTAAAGATCAAACTAGCACAAAACACCCGTGAAATGATTCCGTCTGGCATGCTGTCATTTAGAAGATATCACAAAATGAAGGTGGTTTCTTAGGATCAGTCAGATGACTGATTTTTGGAATAAAAAGTGCAACTGATGAAATTGTGTATCGTTATCAAAAGATGGTTGTGCATGATTTTTCACTATTCTTCTCAAAATGTGTAATATTCACCGAGCTGAGACTTGAACGATTTGGGTTTTGGACATTCTCCTTTGGATTTTGAGTGGTGTATGGAAATGAACAAAATGTATTTAACGCAAATGATCCTATATGCCTTTCAGGGTAAGTGGTAATAATGGTGGAATGTGGTTAGGGTGCGGAGGGTCTACTTGCTGTATGGCTTAGCGTTAGGATTCTCTCTCTCCTTCTGGTATTCCGTCTCCATCTTGGTTTGAATCTTGTCCCAGTCTACCTCAACCTGCGACAAACATCAGATCCTATCATAAGTATTCTTGTACACTACAAAAATCAAGTTAAGAAGTACACAACGTGTACAACACGTACACACCAATCTATTTACCGCACTACATAAACCTTTCTTACAAGGAACTCCCAAGATATCAACTTTGTTGTTTATGCAAATGTTTACGCTGTTTTGTTTTGTTTTTCGAAAAAAACCTGCATCGCCGCATCAATTCTGGAACTTTCGTCTAACCAGAGACCGACTATTTTTAAAAAAAATTTTGGCCTTATACCAGCAAATATTTTACACAATGTTTCTGGAAAGGGGCTATCTTTAAATAGTTTGAGAACAAGGCAAGACTAGTGAAAAGGGGGGTATATTTATTGGGCTTACCCCACTGGCATACTGCAAGAAGCGTTTGTTGGTCTCCTTCTTCTCAAAGCTGTCCAGGAACTGTTGCCGATGGGCCAAGACGGTGTCCACGTGAGTCTTATGCTTCACAGCTAGCTCGAGGGCTCTGGGAAGAAAATGAAGGTGTTGTCTTATTTGGAAAAATCTCCACTGCGCATGCTTGGCATGTATGGTAGCTGCAACTGTAAACTAGCGCCATGCACAGATACAAGTTTTTAAACTGGCTACAGTGAACAGGAGAATTCCAAAAGAAATTGGTGGTCCATCAGGTTTAGAAAAGTGAATGTGAAAACGATGATCAAGATGCATTTTTTAAGATGCTTTTTTCCAAGATCACATTTTGTAAATAAAGTTAAAGCACTTTTAAAATGTTTAAATCTAAATTTGACCATTTATGATTGGTTCCAATGGGCCTTTTATAGGTATTGATGGCATTACGTCATTGGTCAGCTGAGCTGCATCTTTTCATCAGCACATGCAATTTCATCGGTTACTATGTGTTAACATTCAGCTCTCCAGACTCAGGAACCATTGACTTTCAAGAAATGAGTCTGGGAGCTAAACAAGCTAATGCAAAAAATTCCTGGAGTACACCCATGATCTGCCTAAATCTAGGACCCATCTGTAGAAGTTTGGTGAAATTTTGCTATGTTTTGCATTGTCATTCACATGGGAGTTAATGCAACGCAAACAATGCGATTCATTAGTGTGACGTCAGTTCAGTTAAAACCACGCCCACTGCCCATTAAGTAGCATAGGAACCATTGGAACCGGAAGCTAACACAACTGGAGTGTTTATCCAATGGGCGCTAGTAATCAGTGGTGCGCGCAGGTGTGTGACGTTTTTACTAACGAACCGGATAATGTAGATTTTAAGGAGACATGGGCATGGCAACTCATACACACCTATCCCAGTTGTACAGACTGATGTTCATCATGATAGCCCTGAAGACAAGTCCCGCTTGCAGCAGGATGCCCTCCGCATCCTGGGAGTTGCCACAGAATAGCGCCATCTCTGCATTACGTACGTCCTTCAGGGGCAGCTCCTTGATGTATAGAATGTACTGGACCTTGTCAGCCTGAGGATGGAAACATGGATGTTATGAGAAGGTGACTGCAAAATATACTACAGGGTATATTAAAGAATATACCACAGAGTATACCATAGAATAAACTACATAATATTCTCGGTATACAGAATGTACTGGACCTTGTCAGCCTGGGGAAGAAACACACATGATGCTATGAAAAGGAAGTTCTTAGAATACACCTCAGAAGATACTATTGAATATATTACAAAGTATACTACAAAGTATAACACAGAATATTCCTCTGAATAGTAGGAGTGGACAGAATGACGAGGTCTCTAAACTGCTTTAATCTACACCTTTACAAGTGCTCTATCACACTATTATCCCATGTGGATCACTGATATTGTTCAAGTAAGCAACAGGTTACAGATTGAATAGTGAAGTTTACTTACAGCATCTATGGCCGCATAAGCCACCTCGGCTGTGTTGAGTTCCTTGGCATAGGAGGCCATGGCAGCGAGACACGCCCACAGAGCTTGGTCCTATGACAAATCAAATATCAATGCATCAATCATAACAGTGGGGAGTCAAATTAACGCAGCAGTAAATTCCTTGACTTGAAGTGCTGTGGCCCTGCTTCGAATCCTGCACAGCCCACATGTGGATTGGGTCTGATTCGTCCTAACCTGCGTCTGTGGGATTCCCCAAGAATCCCCTATTTTCTTGGGTTTTCCTCTCACCTCTAAAACTGAACATGCTTGAAAAGACAGACAGAACAGTCTGGTGTTGAGTCTATGATTGGTGATTAGCCGACCTACAATTACTTGTTTACAAATAACAACTGTAGACAAGAATTTGATGTCTGTGTCAGGGAGCTGTGGACAGGAAAGGCCTTGGATCTTACAAACCGTGGTTCTACAAGAAAACCAAAATCAATACAATTATATAAAAGTCACAAGAGGGCGCTATATAGGTCTCCAAGTGAGACACTTGTACAGTTTGTTTGAGGAATTCTTAGTTTCACAACCAGAAAAGACACAATCATGACGACAGTTAATCTTGTTGCAAGCAGCTCTACAAAAAAAAAATCATAATAAAAATAACTGCTGGATTTGCAGGATCTGGGAGGTTAAAGGTCAAGGGTAGCCTTCTGACCTTGACAAATCTACAGAGTCTGACTGCATCCTCCCATCGACTGCTGTTGACCAGGTCATGGAGCATGGCTGGATAGGGGGAGATGCCTGTACTGACCAGGGCTCCATCAGCTCGCCGGATGGTCAGGTGATTGCCCAGGAAATCAACAATCTGTGGATTCTTGCCAAACTCACTGCGTCAGGGAGAGAGAGAAAAAGATCATGACGTTTGACAATGTGTACCCCTACAAATTGTGTGCATTTAATGCCAAGCTATAGACCATTCCGAGAACATTGTGGACTTTGTGCACTCTATACGTCACTTCATGGTGCCACCGATGAATGTTAGGTCAGGGTGGGACTGCTTTTCAAAACTTGTCCCTTTCGAATGCTTAGCCAGGATTGAGCAATAATTTTGGCTTGCCCAACTCTCCCCTTTTTGTCTAAAGATGTAGCTGTCCCAATCAGTTTCAACACTGAAGGACTCCAAACAGGTCGGTAAGATGGTGTCCATCATCGCTCCTGACTTCGGCCTTCTAGGCCTGAGTTGACATAGTAGTAGTTGTTCCTATACACTAACGGAGACCCCCTTCAGTTTCAAGGGTCTGGGTGCCGAAGTTCTCAAGAATTCATGTTGTTGATAGCGCCCTCTACTGCTGCGGCTTGACCATGCCTGCCAGGCTCAGGAATGAATGAGGGGAATAAAATCCAAACCCAGGCTGCAACCAAGACTACCTACCTTGCATCTTTGACCATGATAGTGAGCGGCAGGAGTTCCCGGTCTACGTAGGCTACGCTGGGATAGAACCAGACTGTCAACTTGCTATCCTGCAGGGCTGCCAGCATGTTGGTGCCGTCGTTAACGGCAAGGCTGGAGATCATATTACCTATAGGGTCAAAGGTCATTCAGAAGGGTCAAAGCTCATGCAAAAAGGTCAAAGCTAATGCAACTTGAACAAGTACTGTTTGCTCATTGAACCTACCAAGATATTTTCATTGCCATAAACACCACACCCTTAACAATGACAACTTGGATTTTTTAAGGAGTTTGAAATGAAACATTTGCCATCAAATCAAGATTTACATTGCTCAAGTTGTTATGCCCCACACTTTTCAATGTAATCGGCGAATGGAACACAGTGGTCCAAAACTTACTTCAATCCAATGTAAAATGTACACAGTCAAATACAATGCTTGTATGCTTTCCATTCCAATAACTGCATCAAAAATGGCACACAGATAGATTCTAAGTTTCTCTTACCAAGTTTGACAATCTTGGGTGGTTTGCCCACGTTGCGCACCGTGCTGAGATACAAATCACGATTCTTGTCTACAATGGCGAGATGTCTGTCACTGGCTGGCCCACACTGGTCCATGGCTATCTCAACGATCTCAAGCTAAGGACAAAACGACAGACAAATGGACCAATCAACAACAGACAAATATTTGTCATCTTCTGTCAACGTCATATACCACAAGATATATGCTTTCACTGTTGCGCTTCTCAGTGAGCAATTTCATACAAAAACATTGCATAGCAAATTGCTGTGTATTTTTAAGATTTTTAATTTGTAGCCAGGGAAATAGCTCAACATGTTAATGTATTGCTAGACATGCAATTAGAAAATATATTAGCAATGAGATGGTCAATACGAACTCAACTATCAAGGTTAACTATTTAATAACTCAGACAGAAAGCATGACTGCTGATCCAAATTTCACACATCCCTGCAATTAGATACATACCTTGTGAGCGAGCGGCTTATTGTCAACTTGCCGGCTGGTGGCAGAGTCAAAGAGATGAACCAGCTTCTCGTCTGACTTATCCCGGACTGCCACGGTGTCATTGCTGACACACAGGGACTGGGCGCTCAGTGTCTCAGAATGCATCCCAGGGAACTTGGGCGATGAGAGAAGGCGACCCTGGAGGATAAAAAAGGGGAAAAGTTCATCATAAGTCCTAACAAGTCATCACAAAGCCTAACAAGTCATCACAAGCCCATCACAAGCCCATCACAAGTCCATCACAAGTCCATCACAAGCCCATCACAAGTCAAATCACCAGTCCATCACAACTCCACCAAAACTTCATCACAAGTGTATCACGAGTCCACCTCAAGTCTATCAACATTTATCCAGTCTTAAGTCAAGTAACAAGCTGGTCAAACGAAATGTGGCCAAACAGTTAATTCTCATTGTTCGTTCCCAATTACTTTATTGAATTTCAAAGATTAAATCTAGAAATCTTTAATTGCTTGTTATTTGATACATGGTGACGTCATAATGATGTTATTACATTTTTGCACATCTTCAGTAGGTTGTGCATTTTTAATTCAAGTTGAAGTTGATATCAGGTTTCCCTTTGACAAACAGTTCTGGAAACAATTTTGTCTTGGAGAACAATAATAGTAAATTCATAAAATAACAATAGGTGTTGGGCTCTCAGCCCATAAATCAGTTCTTACACACATGGCCTTGAGGGGTACCACCAATACAGAGTAACAATATGGACAATGGAACCCAACAAGTTAGTTTTTCAAAATTTTAGTAATCCACATAGGGAAACCCAATTGGCTTGGAGATTTCAATAAACAGGAGAACAATGTGAAGCCGCCTCTCCTGTGATTTTAGTCTTATTTTTACCTCATATGTGTACAGATGAATTCCAGCACTGTCCACTATTGCAAAATGCCTGGAAGAATAAAAAATGATCAAAGGAATGTGATGTCACATGACGAATCTAGGCATAATTTTATTCAAACGTTTTTAGCCACAAGTACATAACTGACTGGCTGTTGTGACAAAAAAAACCAGTGACGTGGCTGTTCAAAAGAAAAGGAACATGTTCACTGGTAACAATCAAGATTTCAGGTATTGAATCATGATGGATCTCAAACTGGTTTTTCAATACAGAAACATTTAAAGTGGTTTATTTCAACCCAGTCAAATATTTATGAATGAAAATTCATTCCATGCTTTAGTTGACAAATTTCAAACTGAATTACCAATATAGAACGGTGTCTTGACATGCACATTGTGGCCACTTTGAACCATTTTCCATTGGTATGGTTATTTGTCGAGAGACTATAATAAATCTTCTTAAAAAAAATTAAAAATAAAGGCTTCTAAATAAAGAACTTACTTTTCTGCCTGCACAATTAGAGTCACTGTGCCTTCCTTGAGGTCAAAGATCATTGGGGTATTCCAATTCTTGGTACTGCAAAATGGTACAAACAGATAATGACAAAAGAAATAACTACTTATTTCAAGAAGTAATTAAACAATCATTGCATATGGGGGAACTACCTGACTATATTTCTGATATTTAACACAGGGAGGGGCAAGGTGTTGCTTGTGCACTAGCGTAATTCCAAATTTCCATCATTGTAATTGGTTCTGGTTTCTACCGCTATGTCTGATACGTCTGATTTGAATCGGCCAGCTCGGTCTGGCATGCTCGGTGGTCCAGTGGTTAGGACCTCTGCAGCAGCAAGCAGGTCATGGGTTCGAATCCCATCTAAGCAACCTTGTCAATGTGTCTTCACAAGCTCTAAGAATTCACTGAGTACACAGTGCTTACAAAGTGACATAGTGAAAGGCAAAATGAGCACTTCATATGCTCACCTGTAGACATAGCACTGTGAGGATGTGGCCACTACCAGATGGTCAAAGCCGATGGAGGTCTTGATGATGCGATCTCTGAACTCCAGCTTCTCCTTGGCATCGTTGGTCACGTTCCTGACGTGGATCGTCTTCCTGGAGATGACTACCACCTCAAAGTTCTTCCATTCCAGACGTCTGCGGACAAAAAAAGGGGATAAAACTCAAACTTACAGACCACACAATCAAGAAATGCCTATTGAAAAAAAAGGGTTTTCAATCTACTGACTGTCTTAATGCTGTCACTGAGTAACTTTGGCCATTAATGACCTACCTTTCGATAACTTGAGCAAAGATGACGTGTCCATTGCCACAGGCCCCAGCTACTTGGGTGCCGTCCCCACTCCACGCTATGCAGAACAGGCTGCCTGTGTTGGGCTTCTCCAAAGCATATGACCACTGTGGGAAATAACAGATGTTGCAAAATATTAGAGATTTCGGACGATTGAGGCTATGGGCTCTGTGCACAAGTACCCCCTCAACGGTAAGGAAGGGAGAGTTGGGGGAGACCACTTGGGGTTACATTTGAACGCATTACCGACGATGCCTGAAGCTCCACAAAGATGCTAAAAAAAGGCTTTGTGCACACTCAGAATAAAATTAATTGTGCCTACTTCACACCATACGCATACAAACCACTACGCGCACAAGGTGTGTTTTTTTCCACAGGGCTCTCGAAAGTGCTAAATAAGCGCCCTCTCCAGTACGCGCACAGAGCCATATGCCTGTTAAAGTGCTTGTTGATTTTGGATGATGTCAAGGTCTTAAGCTGTTCCTTGTCAATAACTTTATACATGTTATACTGGATACTTAAAAGCGAATTGGCATGAATGTTTGAATGATTGAGGCAGAGGTCACCTCTCCACAGAAAAAAATAAAAAGTAAAAGATGATTTTGGAGGATTGACGTAGCATCCAATTTTTATCAGGAGGCAGTTGGAAGATTTTGTTAAGAATTGAGGATGCATCCCAGTGATAAATGAAAGGAATCAAGCCATTATTGTTGAAGCCAGATCAGATCACCTCACTTGATGAGAAATAGTCCCACCACTCTAACATAATGATGTCACAACTCTGCTTCAACTCACCCCACTCTTGTCGCACAGTCGTAACGTGTTGAACGAGCCAATGGCAAACAGCTGGCCGTCTGGGGCCCATGACACGGAGACTATAGGATACTCATGCGGATGACTGCTATACATCTGCCTACCATAGGAATCCCAGACCTTGTACCGGCAGTCCTCTGCTCCAGATAGGATCAGGTTGTTGACGGGATTCCAGTCCACCTTCAGGATCACCCCCTCGTGTGCCTTCCACTGTAAACAACAAGACGAGGCACCCCTAGTAGAATATGGTCCCAGACCAAATTGGTTTAAGTGGTTTAAGTATTCAGGCAAAGCCAATTTGTTTGACCAAAGTAAGGCTTAAGCAAGTCTAAGTTACAAGTGACAGTCAGTCAGTGAAATACGTACATAAAGGACTAAAGGCTGGCTGTCTTGAACCAGCAACAATGGCACCCAATCAAGCAAAATGAGTCACAAGTCCATGGAGCTTCTTTTGAGTGATTCGTCTTCTGACAGAATCTTACACAATAGATAGCAGGCCTTATTCTTAAGCAGATGGGGCAGACTTAACGCCATTGTGAGTTAATAACACAGACTCGAATCCAAGGTTATTCAGGTATATTTACATGTTACTTCAGCGCACAAATTACATTTTTATAGTCTTTAATTGTGACATTTAAGTCAAATTACTTAACTGCCTAAATAAGTGGGATTTTCCAGTTTGTACCCGTTACATTGTGGTAATTCACTATGGCCTACAGTAACAGTCAAACTTTTCACCCACATATCATCTGTATATGTTAAGATATCAAAGTGATATATCAAACTGAAGTGCAAATTGTGCACTTCCAACTGCATGTGAAATGTTTGTGTCCTTATGGAAGAGATTTTACCATGACTTATGTTAAAAAAAAGTTAATATATATTTTTATGGCAATTTCTATCTTACGATGCCAAGATTGTAAGTTGATGGTCCATAACTTATAAAAAAAATTAACCTGATTTTAACAAACATAAAACTCTAGTATCATAATTATAATTTAAGGGTTTTTTTCAAAAAAGGAAAAAATGTAACCTGTATAGGCTTGGCGTTTGCCTGCATTGACTTTATGATGAGCTGCTTGCCGTTTGTGAACAACACTTGGTCAGAGTCTGGTGACCATCCTATCGAATACACTGGAGAACCTGGAAAATAATGTTGCAGAAAAGATAGGATTAAATTTCTACAAAGACGAATGTGGACATGAGATAATAAAAGCCCACAACTAAGACGGGTTGTTTACACCTGTGTATAGCGAGTGCACTCTCAATTTTTAAAAAAAAATTCTAGATGACACCATCCAATGATTTACCTGTTTGTGCTAACGTTGAGCGCAGCATTCCACTGCGAGACCATATCTTGACCTGTCCATCCTCCCCAGCGGTGGCCATAGCGGTCCCATCATAACTCCAACGGCCGGACAGGACTGCGCCCCGGTGTGCATCCACCGACTTCTCCACACGCCCAGACTTGGAGATCAAGAGGAATTTTCCTGGGAAAAAAAACAATAGAAGTTGAAATTGCCAGTGGATTTGTAAGAACCTAGGCGGAGGAGGACCTTGGATTCACAGGCATTTCCCACATTGGAAGTTATTTACAGAATGTTCATTTTGATTGATTTTTTTTTCTAGATAGTTTGCTCATGCCAAGCGTATGTATGAAGTCAACAGCTGGCTCACAGCCGTTTATCAGATGTAGAATTTGAGAAAACAGATTGTTCTTAGGTCATTAGTATTTGTTCAAAAATTCCTCTTTTCTTTAAAATGACAGCATACTAGGATCAACAATTTCCCAGGTTTTTTTTTACTACTATTTATTTACAATCTTGTGGGTTATTTCTTAATATGTGGCACTTTTGTTTCCGATTGTTTGCAGATGGTCATATGTCTGTGAAATGGCATTAACGGTGCTAAAGTACGCAAATCATGTTGCAACTTACCATCCGTGGAGGTCAGTACAAACACATCAGCCTGAGGCTGTTTGGTTTTTCCTCCCAACCCCTTGGGGAAGAAGTGGATGTCTGTAGCATAGACATCACTGGGTAGTTTGGCAAGGGTTGTGGTTTCGTCAGAGAGCAGTTTCCATCGCAGGATTGTGTGGTCGTCACTGCAGGAGTAGAGCTCTTCGGATGTGGTCCAGGCGACACAGCTCACAAGCTCTGAATGTGCTAGGTAGTTAAGGATTATCAATCTTCAAGGGTGGGGAAAGGGGGGTGGACTTGAGCTAAGTAAACAGTGATTAACAATGGTCAATATGGAACAGAGTTTTTGGAAGGATTGGACTTGACTGGCTTGACTTAATCATGATTCTTGAGTCAGGATTAAATTCTCTTTTTGTGAACTTCATAATTACATCTAAACATGAAGTATCTATTACTATCTACAGTCAGCAATTTACTGCATGCTTGTACAAATTACCTGGCTTCAATGAATATTGCATGAACACATACAGAAAACTAAATTAGAGAGAGTCAATTCAATGAGAAAAGAATGTGTGACAAAGGATATGTTTGGCATCTTTAGCAAGTGACGTCTTGAAGCGCATTGTGAAGCGGTGAATGCTGATCCTCACAGGTGCACTATGACGACAAATCACTATGGTGTAAATTCAAAATGTTGATGATGAACACCGAATCTTCAGAATGTTGATCTGTCACCAAAAAAAAAAAAAAAAACTGATGAGGTTACTATTTAACTCATTGAAATCATTTTTCATTTTCATTTTCATTTAATTATTTCTCAGGTAGACACACATACAGACATGAGATACCATACAAATATTGTGAGCTCCAAGGTTACAAAGAAAAAAAAAGGAAAAAAAAACTATATTTACAACACCCCTGAAAGATTGCCAAAAAGCGAACTAAATCACTATCTGGTGGCTCTCCTAAAATGTTATTGATAACAATTAAAAACAATTAGCATGCATGTATAAAATGTCCAGTCTTATCAAATACATGTATTGCTGTTTATAGCAAAAAAGTCTTAAGATTATTTATAGGATAATTGAAGACTGGAATATCAAAGCTACAAATTTATTTAATAGGCCAAAGATGCTAAGTTGATTGTTAAGTTTACTTACGAATTATGCAAACATTAATGTAGAAGTTAGGAATTAACTTAAGACGTTTTTTTCTCCGCTGTTCAAGTGTTACCATGGTTACAAACCTCAAGAGGCAAGGTGTCCCAAAATGCGGGGAAATCTTACGAACAAAGATGGATGAAAAGCATTAATATTAGTTCAGGATGATTGATGAGTTAAGCTTTTTCAATTCTCAGTTGCAATTTTTTTTTCAATATTTTTGATGAATATTGCAATAATAAGTGACCTCACTAGTCACTGAATGGTTAAAATTATAAAAAGTGTTGTTGGACTTGGAATACTGCATTTCACCCTAGACTGTGACAGCCACTGAATGGAAAGTTGGCCATGTTAAAGTGCTTGCAATAGTATCAAATTTAGCTCACTGCATTTGCAAGCAGCGCGTGTGCAGCGCAGGACGGTCACCGTCCTTCAGCGCCACGGTGCGGTGCAGCCGCTAGTCTGCGGGATGACACTGGCACTGTGTCACTGTCAGTGTCAGTGGCCAGTGGCGTCTGCAAATTGAAATGTTTTTTATTGCAAAAAGTAACGTTACATTTCGTCTATTCCTACAAAAGGTAATCAAAATTAATCAACATATGCTGTGACTTCAAGTAAATATCTTTAGAATGAGATTCACATTCGTATTTTGAACATTCAAAGAAAATCACCTCCTACCTCCGCATTAAGCTCTGCTTTCGTCTGCCTCCATTTTAGATTTCGCAGAAGGAATTTTCAATTTGCGCATGTGCAAAAGACCGTCTGCAACAAAATAAACAAACTCAAACAATCCAAACCATTTGATTACGCCGGATTATATGCATAGATATTCACAAATCAATCAGCAATGTTGAATTTTAATGATGATTTTAAAACTCCAAAGAAATGTATGGCCAAATCAATTTCTTTAGGGGACAAAATGGGAAATATAATTTATTTTGTTCGAGGGTGCAACCTATCAACCATGCCGCAGTGCATGCTGGGAAGGCAAACAACTTTCAGGCGATGGCCGGTCCGCCCGATCTAGATCGTTCGTTGTGATGTGTAGCAATGCGGAAGTGGGGAAAATCGTAAACAACTCAACTAATAATTAGTGCCGTGTGAATTTTGCTTTCCATGTGGTATAGCTCTATATTTACGTCAATAGCTTGAAGGGTAAAAGGAAAGATTCCCATGTCTGGCCATCACTTGTCACTGGCAGTTGCACTGCCTGTGCACAAACCGTATGGGAGTTGGGACTGGTCTGAACATTTCTACTTTCTAGGCCTAGGCCAGGGCCTCAGTGTTTTCTCAGTAAAGTGTTTTCCCTGCTAATTTTGACTTTTTAGGACATGTTATCACTTTCTGATGGCCGATGGGTCATTTTGGGGGAAAAAATACTGATGGACAGATATAGGAATCTTAAATTCCAATTTGATCTTGCCATAACATGATAATTTCAATTGAATGTGTATTTAATTGGGCCATCATGATCATGATGATTTACCTCTAGCCCGACTGCGTCTGGCCGTACAGTACTATCGCAAGCTCTGTAGTACTACAGAGCTTGCGATAGTACTGTACGGCCAGACGCAGTCGGGCTAATTTACCTCATGAAAAGTTTGATTTGACTTGGTTTTTCCCCATTTCAGATTGCTTTTTTGAAGTTCATCTGATCTACTTTTGCCAAAAGATTTGAAGAAGATGGAACCCATCAGAAGCACCAGCCGTTCAACATTGAATGTTACGATACCCAGTGAGATTGAGGGCAGCGATGGTAGCCCCCTCCAAATAGGAGGTCAAGAGGTCACTCAGGGGTCAGATCATGGGTCAAGGAGCTCACTGCCCAAGAAGACCCAACCCAGCCCTGTACTTCAACAGAGGGAGTAAGTGCTGATGTGTTGACACCACAATTGGTGAAAATCATGACAATTTGTTCTTTTACTAGTTTTGAAGCTGTCACACCTCAAATACGGCATCTTCAAAAGCATAGTTGGGATAGGCCCAACTATATATTGGGGACCAGTGCTGTAGTTTGGGTGTAACAGAGACATTCAGACTGTCTATATCCCCTGCCAAAAGAACCTTTAATTAGGACATTTATTGGAATATACAATACTTACTCTTGCTCGGGCATAAACACTGTTGTTCATCCAACAGAACTTTAATGTGTGTTCATGCTGAAGTGTTGGTTTCCAAACTGTTTGTTTGGGGGGGAGTGTTACATGTCAGCCAATGAAAACAAACAAGATTCAGTTGCACAGCAGTTTTGATTGGTTGCTATATTTTATCAATCAGCACTGCAGACTCAAGAACCATTCAGTTTCATGAAAATGGGTCTGGAGACTAGATAAGGAAAAAGTTCCTGGATGTCCATGCCTACCTACATTGTATTCCTCTGTTCCTTCCCTTTTTGCTTTCAGATTGACAGAGATCCTAGCAGCTCGTGCCATTGAGAGATGTTGGTGTTCCTATAGAGACCGGCAGATGTTTAAGCTTCTCAAGCATGCCATCTGTGCAGCAGTGAGTCCCAACCAAAAGACCCTGCTGGCATGGGCGTCGCCATACAACATTGAATGTTTTTTTGAGGGGGGTGGGGGTGACAACGGACCGCTCTGCGGGTACAGCTGGTGAACAAAATGTAAAGGGGGGTTGGGCACTGAACACCATCAGACTAACAGGGGACTGTTCAAAGCAGACAAAATTGGACACTGTCCAACAATATGTGGTGCTTTTTGTAGCGACACATATGCCGACACACAATTGTGCCAACAGGACAGGGCTTTTGCTGATTCCCCACTAGGCACGCCCCTGCCAGTTGGACCTACTACGGTAGTATATTATTCATTAACATTTTCAAGGAGGACTTTCTACTCTTACTGTGCTTACTAAATTTCACACTTTTTTCTTTCCAGTAACCAAAAAACAAATTAAAAAAATTGAGTCTAATGCAGAAATTGTTTTGTACCTTGACAAAGTCCCCTTCAAAAGAAATCTTGCATTCGCACCTCCCCTCTGTCTCTCTCTCTCTCTCTCTCTCTCTCTCTCTCATTGTTGTTGTGTGTTGTATCACCAAGGTGTTCTTTACGTTGAAGTTGTTTTCTCTCTTTTGTCAATAGGAGCATTCACTTACCCATGAGATTCTCCGTAAAGTCAGTCCCATGGAAGCCAAGCTCATTAGAGACCCTAGCTTACGAGCACGGGTGCGCTTCAGGTAGATACATGTGTGATCAACTTTTTCTTATTATAAACCGCAACTTTGTTAAGTCATTTTTTAAACTATGGACTCGATGCAAAAGTACCCCCTCACTCATTTGCAAAGAGAGAAGAAGGAGGAACTCAAACGCATTATGCAAATGCATTTGCTTACACAAATACTACTCAGTTTGTGCACATTCAGAGTAAATTAATTGTGCATTCTTTACCTCGTACATGCTAGAAGCAATGCTTGCACGAAATGCCTCCATTCTGCAGAGCTCATACAAATGGTCAAGAAGCCAGGGATGCAGTCAAGTATGTCACAAAGTCCCTGCAAGTCCATCACAAGTCCTCCAGTCCCAATTCAAATCACACACTATTTAAATGAGCTGTAACAAAGGCATTTCTTTGTTATTGTCCATCCGCTGGTTCTTGTGATGGCCTTGTGATGGACTCGCCTACATCCCTGCAAGAAATGCAATCTACTGTCCATAGAATATCCAATGAATACAGACCATATTGAATTCAGCTATGACAAAGACTCACTTTTGTATTCTTAACTTTCTTCTTACAGGTTTGCAGGGTCTGAATTTCCACCCATAATTCTCTTCAAGGTGTTCACTCACACAGAAGGTACAGGGCTCCAGTACCTGAGCGGCAAACGCTGCATACAGCCTGCATCCGATGTAAGTAATAAAGTGGTACTTAATACAAATGCCTCAAGCACTTTAAAATTATTACCTCTGTTCATCAGGCAATAAGACCATTTTTTGTAGCAGATTAAGATCAGTGCAATCTGTTACCTAATTACAGGTACCCATAAGTCCCTCCAAGTGGTCTTCCCCAACTTTTTGTAACTTTTGAAGTTTTGAAGTTCATGTACTTGTGCTCAGAGTCTATAGGAAAATGACAAAGCACGGTATTTGAGATTCTTGTACCTCCAATAAACCCCTTTGAATTGTTGCATACGTCATTACAGGCTGCAGTGGATGCGTGTCGTATGATGGGCCATCGCAAGTTCTATGACCAGCTCATAGCAGACACTTGCCAGCATGAGCGAGACAAGATAACCAGTGAGGTTGACGTGACTACAGTTAAGGACTATATGAAGGTGAGGTGTGGATCAAGAATTGGGACCTATTTCTACTCTCTTAAAGGCCTTAGGATCATTGGCATTTATCCTAAATGTAACCTACCAAATTCTTATCAAAAAGCTTACTTGGATCAATTTAGTTTTTCATTGAACTTCATTTTTTTTAATAACCTTGTTTTGCAGTATCTGAGCAAGTTGGATGAGATGCCATCCTACATGGGAGGCAGGGAGAACCTATGGAGAAAACTGGATCAGTCTGGTGAGTCCGTTTATCATCGCAAACTAAAGTTGCTTTTGACAAGTTATGAATATCAGTATTAAAGTAGATGATATTTTTCAGCAATGTTGCACTAATACACGGTGGTTCAATTAAGTGCTTGTTTTATTTAAATTTGCAAAAATTTGTTTAAGTTTTGATTCTCACATGGACATAAACATAAAGGACAGTTTCTGCATCTCAGTTGATTCTAACTTAAAATCTTCAGCGGCATCTATTAAATTTTTGTTCCAATCTCAGTTTTGCCCAGGACCACCATCTTGTATGATGTGATAGACTACCTGAACAGGGGTGGTAACTCCCCATCAGTGAGACTACAGGCTGAAATGCCCATGCTCACAGCCAGGCCGGTCACGGAAGAAATGCAACGAGAGCATGTAAGGATCATCTCGGAACTACGGTAAGCCACATTCAAAATCATTTGTAAAGTTTTATGGACATAAAATCTTGTAGGAATGATTACTGGCTAGTTTTGCTATTTGTGGCTGCCAAATCATTTTATTCTCCAGTAGTTTTTACAACATCCCCTTTTCTTCCATGTATTTGTAAAATATTACCTAAAGAAATCCACTGTGGGGGAAGGAGCACCCCTTGGCATCAAATAAGGTCCAGCACACTCACCCCCCCCCTTGAAATATTTGTCTGGATCCACCAGTGTGTATTACATGTATCCAAAAAGTATACATGCATTAGTAATCAGTTCAAATACCCATACAATCCTCACACTTATTTATTTTTGCAGAGAACCATTAGCGATACCCATTGCGTCCCCTACTTTCAAGCCGTCAAGCTCCCGAGCCAGCACATCTGGCCACACATCCAGGCGTTCCAAACAAGCCAAGCAAAGAGCATCCAGGATGAGAAAAATGTACATGGAAGGCAAAGCGGAGGTGAGGCTTAAACAATTACTGAAATCATAAAATTACTACAAAGTACCTCAAGTATCTATTAGTTGGTTCTACCCTTCAGCCAGCTGACCTTGGCAAACCTGGTGGTTGAGTGGTTATTAAGACATCTGCACTGGCAAGCAGGAGGTGGTGGGTTCGAGTCCCACCCGAGTAAGCTTGTGATTTTCCTTGCAAGCCCTCATACGATCCCTTGAAGTAACATTGGTGAAGGGTAAAACCCAATATTGAATTTACATCTCAATGCAAAATTCCATCACACAAAATTGTCCTTGAGTTGTCCTGATGATACCAAGTATCTCCCTTTTTTGTCCTTCAGTCAAGAGGTGAGAATCCCTCCGATGACGAAGCTGTCGGTACGGTAGCCGCCGCCCAGGTGATGTCAGAGGACTTCGATGATGACAGAATGCTGGATGATGATGCAGAAGAGGAAGAATGGCAAAGAGAAGCAGATCAACTGTATGCGTGGACGCAGGACTTGTCTTATGAGGACATTGGGCTGACAACACCGTGCTGACACAGAATTGTGAGGACCTCAGTTCTGCTATTTAGAGACATTCTTCTGTGTGGCCCCTCAGTTCTGTAATTTGGAGACTGCGTGCTGTGAGGACCTCAGTTTTGTAATTTGGAGTCATTCTAATGAGGATCCAGTTCTGCAATGTTGAGACATTCTGCTGTCAGGACCCGACATGAGGACTTTGGGCTGACGACACCTTGCTAGCACAGGAAAGTGAGGACCTCGGTTCGGTTACATGTATTTGGAGACATCATACTGACTATGCTTTACAAACACCAGACTTGCTACACCTTGGGCACGTTTACATCAGTGGTGTGCATGATCACAGGACCTGTCATATGAGGACACCTTGCTGGCACAGGAAAGTCAGGCCATAAGAGTTACTATACCCAGGAATGCCAGGATATGTTCACATCAGGTGTTAGCGTGGATAGAGGACCTGCCATATGAGGACATTGAGCTGACGACACCTTTAATACTAACATGTTAATTAAATGTGAGGACATTGGTTTATAGAGTAATTAGCCTTTCACTGTAGAATCGTGTCAACACAGCTTGTGAAATATTGTCCAATTACATGATACAGTCGAGTCTCCTTATAACAAACTCGTTCGGACTTAGCCAAATTGTTTGTTATATCAGAATTTTGTATTAAGAGGGACATCAGTCGGGACCAAGGCTTTATGTTTGTTATAACCAGAATTTTGTATTAACAGAGTTTGTACTAACGAGAGTCGACTGTATACGAATGGACTCGGAATGCGCAAAATCTGAGACAAACATACATGTAACTTGGGGTGTGGCGAACTCGCAAATAGCGATAGGTCAACTATATTGACTGCTATAATGTGAATGAATGAGCCAGACTTGTACACACTCTCTATATCAACAGTATACATGTACACGCACTGGTGCTAGGGTGTTACACGTTAAGCAAAGCTCAAAACAACAAAACATTTTTGAAATGAAAGCAGACTTATGAGCTCTCATACATTGTGTATTTCAGTTTTGTTCACTGACTTGGTAAAGTGCATACACACAGCTTACAAAATATGGACATGAAGCGATCATTAATTGACTTCAACATGTAATTTGAATTTAATTTATATAATCCGACTTTTTTATCTTCAAATAAATAGCGCATGTGCACAGATACTGATTTTAAAAACCACTTTCAAATCAAATGTTCATATGTCATGAATGCAAGAATACAGTAAAGAGAATTGTGCAACATGAATGGAAGATTGATATTTCATTGATGTCTTTGAAAAGATGTTGCAATAAATTGATGCAAATCAAGATAGTGCTCAAGGACTGATATTTCATTTTTAAAAATACATGTATGTTTAATACTGTGTACAAGAGGCTTAGAAGATAAATATTGGCATTTAGTCAATTAACGGACACTATTTACAAAACATCTTTTACAAAGACAGTTAAATTAAAAATTAAAATAAGGAAATACTGTGTTTGTTATTGGAATGCTGCAGAGCTTATGGAAGCACACAATGTAAAACGTCTTGAAGGCATGATCTGGGCTCTGATATGTACTGCATCGTCAGCAGGCAATTGCATGATCTGTGATATATTCATCCTGATTAATATTTGATATTCCTGAGGGTGGCAACTGATAAGAAAACATACATGTACATTTACCAACACTAAAGAACATTTAATAAATAAATTGGCAGATAATAAAGAGTATTAAGGGCAGAATCCCCAGGTCCCTAAACCCCTCCCCCCCCCCCCTCCACCACCACCACATTTTTTTCAGGTATCACAAATTTTTATTCCACGACACGCCTTTGAAAGTTTGTACACTAGTGTCTTGCAGAAATTTTGACACCAGTTACATAACAAACGGACAGGGAATTCAATCAAAAAGTCAAACACGGTACCTGCAAATCTGTTTTCAAATGGAAAACGTATTCATTCAGGCACAGGAGTATGAAACATTAATACAGTTGAGTCTCGTTAATACAAACTCGTTCGGACCTAGCCAAATTGTTTGTTATATCAGAATTTTGTATTAAGAGGAACATCAGCCCCATTCATTGTGCACATAAATGCACAGTCGGGACTAAGTTTTTATGTTTGTTATAACCAGAATTTTGTATTAACAGAGTTTGTACTAACGAGATTCGACTGTAATTTTAATTACAAAATGGTTAGTTTGTTCAGGTAAAAACTGCATGCGTACTAAACATGAATGTCTATACTAGCATACAATATAACAATCCAACTATCGCATTTTTGTGATCAGAATTTGGGCAAAACCACCCACCCCCAAAATTAGGGCTAATACTAATAACCATGCTGGTCACAATGTATTAATCATTTTGGGGTCAAGTCACCTATTGCCCTATGCATTAACTTTGCTCTGAATGTACTCTACAATAAAAACAATAAAAAAACATTATTGACAAGTTGCTTTGGTATTATAAATATATTGCTACAAAAGACGTCAAGTTTCAACCGGGGACAAGTCTGAAACTTCAAGGATCTTTTTGAAACTACAGTAGAACCTCTGGTGGTCCCTATGCTGCCCACTCTGCCTGAAAGACTTGCCACACTGGCAGACGAACGGTCGCTCACCGGTGTGAAGACGTTGATGGTCCTTGAGATGACTACTCTGCTTGAACCCACGAGGGCAGTATTTACACTGGAATGGCAGCTCTCCTGAGTGCGCCCGCCGGTGTACAGTCAGGTGACTGTTCTGCTGGAAGCGCTTCCCGCACACCTCACAGACAAACTGCTCCCCAGTGTGTATCCGCTGATGAATCATGAGGGCGCTGTTCTGGTTGTAGGCTCTGCCGCACGTGACGCACTGGAAAGACTTTTTGCTGTGGGTGCGCTGCCAGTGTCTCGTCAGGGCAGACACGCCGCTGAACGTTTTACTGCACTTGCCGCACGCATGGGAAATTCTGGGAGGCCGTTGGTGCTGTTTGCCACCCTCGCATAAGTCCTGTGCCCTCTGGTCTTTGGGTTTCTTGAAATCGACATCCTTACCGCATCGTTGGCACCGGATCAGAGGTCTCTGTATGTGAGTCACCCGGTGCCTTTTTAACTGATTACTGATTTTAAACGACATGGGGCACTGACTGCAATGGTAGGGCCGTTCTCCGGTGTGTATTCGTTTATGCACAGCCAGGCCATTGGAGGTTTGGAAAGATTTACTGCAAAAAGTACAAGCAAATGGACGTTCCCCAGTGTGGATACGATTGTGCACTTTGAGGCTGCTCTTGGTTGATAAGCCCTTCCCACACACATCGCAAATGAATTTTTTCGCTGACATTTCATCATCTCCCTGCAGTTTGGTGACGGCAGACGGTACTGGATGTGTGATTTCATCCTCCTCACTTGCAACAAATTCCTCTTCAATCACAAGACCATCCATAGTTGGGATTACAATTCAACTTTGACAATCCACACCGGCACAAATAGTCAAGTCATGAGCCACTACATGTACATAAAAGTAACAAAAAAATACATGTGTAACAGTTTAAATTTGACTAGTATTATCAAATAAAATAAAATAAAATAGAGGGAGCTTTAATGTCAGCTACACATATTTGTTTTCTTTCTTCTAAGCTCATGCAATACAGTGTAGGCCTAGCTCTGAAAACTATTTTAGCACGGAAGTGAGCGGCATAAACTATAAAGTCTTGGTAGTGGTTAGAGCTGTTATTTAGGGCTCAACAAGACCATCGGTGTCAACTAGTCTTTAGCACTTAAGTTGGGAAGTCCCAGCTTAAGTTGAGACCTGCTCCAGTCTAGATTGCGGCATAAACAGAAGCAGTTCCCAAATCATTGTTCGGTAACGAGCACTGGCAGTGGCACTAGCGCCGCAAGGCAGCATTGTGCAGTGTCCGTGGTCCGACCATACGGTACCTGTGGGAAAGAATGTTGCATCCTGACCCCACCTTTTTCAATATTTTTATCTCAATAATGGTCAGTCATTGCAAAAATGTTGAAAAGACTTGAATCTGGGACTGAGAACGATTTCCAATTTTGTTAGAAAATACTTTGAAAATGCACTCGACTCTCCAAAGACTTTGTTGTACACAGCAAAAGAAGTAGCCTTTAGTCAAGTCCCACGCGCTTACCCGGACACGTGACGCACCCCGGATGCTGACACCTAAAAAGACTAGCACGAGCGGCGAAGCCGCGAGGGCCTTTACTATCTTGTGGAGAACGCTTATGTTTTTCTTTACATTGTCTACCGATTTGGTAGACATGCATAATGCATTACCTGTTGTGAATTGACCAATGAAAATGCAGAATTACTAACGTAAATCAGCCGTCGTCTGGCGCCATACAGCACGCGCGCCACGGTAGTGTTGCTGGTAACCGCAAACCACCGTTAGATGATTGGTTTATATTGCTTGATTTATATTACTTGATTTATATTACGTGAATAAATGAATAAGTGATTAGTTCCACGCGATAGTAAAGGCCCTCGCGGCTTCGCCGCTCGTGCTAGTCTTTTTACGTGCCAGCATCCGGGGTGCGTTACGTGTCCGGATGGTCCGGGTATAGGGCGCGTGAGACTTGACTAAAGGCTACAAAAGAAGTGTCGTCTGGATACTTTATTCTTTTCTAAGTATGGCCGTTTTTTATCTCATATTCAAGCCATCACTGTTTAATAACCGTCAATAATGCTCACCTTCATGCTCGTACGGTCTTTAGGTATATTCTTCAACTTAATGAATAAAACTGAAACTGAAAGCTCAAAGATATAGATCTGCTAAAATAAAAGTAAAACTCTCACCTGCTAGACGCCGTTGGCAACTTTCTGTTTTGTTACACATACACGACTGATGAGGGCGCACTTACATTCTTGCAGACTGCCACATCGTTAATGGGCGTGGTTTATAACAAAAAGGAGGGGATAGCCGAACAAAATGTGATTATCGGGTTCTGTTATTAAAATAACTATACATGATTATGATTTAGATTTACAGTTAAACGCAGGGGGGGGGGGACAAATCGTTTTAATTAACAAATTAATCAGTGAAACAATAAAATATCACAAATATGAGAACCCTGCAGCTGGCTGTAATGTAAAACCCTTTTTTGTGAGAGCAGCTTTTAATTGGTTGCAACTTTAAGTACACACAGCATTTTGTTTCATCTGCATCTAATAAAAATAATCAGTGTATGATATGAACACAGACAACATACATGTATTTCTGGCACTCGATCAATTGGTTTATTTCTCATTGCAAATGTAAACTCCCCTCTTCCCAAAATCTAAACATGTGTACAGCATTTCTTGTAAAAATCTGTACAATATTACACTCTTTATAAATTTGTAGATGAATATTTTTTAAATGACTAGGTAATTATTGGCCTAATTAACAACATATGATAAATTTGCAAAACAACTTGAGATGTTATAAATCACATTCATAATAGAACTTGCGGCATGAATCTTCTATTTCCTTTTTCCTTTTAGGCATTTACAGACTTAAATTTTCTTTGGCCATTTATCCTCTATTTCGTAGATTAAAGGGAATATACATCATTTGCTTTTGCTGTAATTTTCAGAAATGGTTGGAATTGGGGGGTTGGAAATATAAAGCAAATATAGTTACACTGACTTTTTGGAGGTTTTGGGTTCGAAAATGCTATAAAAACCAAGAAAAACGATCATTTTCCTGTAGTCTGGTTCCCTGACTCCATATAAGAAGAAACAGAGCAGTTTACATACATTGGGGAATTGTAAGGTTAGGGAACCAGTCTAGCTGGCTCGTACCCGTTCATAGGTTTGTAATCGATTGTAAACAAGTGCGATGGTCAATTGGGGCCAGTATTTGAAAAAAAAGCCAGTTGTTTCCAACGCTGATCGGCCGATCAGCGTTGGAAATTGATACAAAAATACCACTTTTCTTGAAAATGACAGTATACCAGGTGCCATAATTTTACAGGATGCTTTAGACTGTCATTTACCAACATCCTATTAAGGTATTTCGCAAAAACTTGGTAGTTTTATTTTTCGATGTTTGCAAATGTTGTATATTCCCTTTAAACAACTATTTCTAAGTAAACTTCGGTGAAATTGTGGCCTTGAACGACAAAATCAAGACATCCATCAAAAAAATATATGAGTTGAAGTGCATTCTTTAAAAACTGATCACCAAAATTAGATAAAAAGAGCCAAAAAAAAAAAGAAGACAAAATGCATTTTATGTAAAGTACAAGTTTTGCGTATAAGTTAAGCATCTTCCTTTTTTTGTAGTGGTAGGAGACATAAACACAAACACATATAGATTGAAACCAATTTCTCAACATCAAATTTACTTTAAAAAAGTACTGTACATGTACTTTGTATCCACATATACATAAATGTATGTTCATAAAGACATTTTGACCAATAACAAACTACATGTATGTGACCTCACCGCAATACAGTAACTGGTGAGTCAAAGAAAACACTTTTTAGAGATTTTGAGATAATTTATGTCATAATTTACAACAAAAACCAAAAAAATAGTTTAACCCAATGATTTGATTGTCTTGTCAGTGTTCTCTTTTTATGTACATAAAAGGCAGTACTCAGCTTTTTAAAATTCCAATAATTTTAAAACAGTGCAAGCTGTAAAGCTGCACAATTCTTTACGATTAAAACTGCTAAGAACACACTGTATGTAAATGATAAAATTTAACCAAAATACTACTGTTATTTCCAAGAGTTACTGTACTGGTATATCTTTCTTTAAATATAGCCAATAAATTAAAAACATATAATGCACAAGACTTTAAGGTTACTTCCAAAAGAGACAAAGAAAAGGATTTTTTTTGTAACAAAACAATTATTTTTACTACTTGGTGGGGGAGGGGTGGGTTAGGGATTTTGCAGATGTCCAATTTATGATGGCAACATAAACTCTGTGTAGATAGTACTTTCTGCAAAACAATAACCTTCAAACCTTGACCATCTTAGAATGCCATTGGCCATTCATCTGTCACCAATGATCATATACTTAGTTCTGGGGATGACACAAACTACAAATAATTTCAATAATGTTGACCTTCTTTGACATCCATTTCAAATGAACTCTGGGTTTGGCACTCGCAAATTCACAATCCATAGCTACCATACCAAAGCAGCTCTGTCATCAAAAATACTAATTCAAAATGAAAATGGCTTCCGTGGTATTAGACAGAGTGAACCATGTGACCGCAGCAACTCTGGTATGCCTATAGTTGACCTTTTCCGGAGACCGACAGCAGCTCTGGGTTCAACACACTTTAGGAGCCCAAGCCTGGACTAAGCCTAGATACTATATGCTTAGCAAAAAATAGGTTACCAACTAAAGTGTCATGCAATGTATATTGCTTGTGACTGGTCCCCATGGTCCCCAGTCAACTGGAAAACAAAGGTACATTTCAAGGATTGCATTTCTTTTTTTTAATCCATTACATGGGTCCTCCAACACACGTATTAACAAAATAAAATTTTCTGTGTTACATATTTTACAGTTTTTGACAAACATGAATACTTCAGATTTGGCTGACCATGTCAAAGTTGTTTCCTTAGCTACGGGGGTAAAAACCATGCATGAATTCAGGATTTTAATTTAGGTAGAACTTGAAAAACAGTTTTAGTTATATTTTAAAAAAGTAAAGAATGTTTCTTTGCTTTTCTGTCTAGTCAAATAAATTTGTTCACAATTTCAGATTTTTGTTCACACTTTAACTCCTTTTCTTTTTTGTTTACAGTATAAGAATACTTTTTCATCCTTTTACTTAATATGAGTGAATACCCCATTTAGCAAAACTTCATTTCAATAATAAAAAAAAAATATTAAAATCCCAACATTCAAGTTATGGATGCAGTCTTTCAAGTTTATGAAATGTACAGTTATACTAAAAAAGAAAATACTACTAATATAATGCTCACTTTCTCTGCTGGCAAAATGATAAATATTTTTTTTTAAAGTTATATGAACAAACTGTTTATTCCAAACATTTAAACGCAGTTGATATTTGGAATAAGGAATCAATTGTCAAACTCTTTAAACTGTAATGGCAATGAATGTGGACAAGTTAATTTATTTATTTTCTAGCAAACAATCTACATGCTTTTGCACACGTAGGCCTATACTCTAATTTGAACTTACATTGTACATTTAACCCTCTGCAACAAACTTTAAGAATTTAATACACGTAGCACATATATATTGCACATTATACCTTTTTTCAAAGGAAAAAAATTACTTAAAATAAACATCCTGTTCACTTGCAATGGTACAATGACGTATGTATTCCACAGGCTAATCTGTTCTTGAAATGACGGAACTGCGGATTTAGCAATTCATGAACTTTGAGCTTTAAACTCTATGGATTTCTTTTGTGACTTTTAATATCAGGATTTATCAGTCAAATGGTACCGGGTAGTAAGGCCAAAAAAAAAAAAAGAAGAAGTTCTGCTTCCGATTACATGGCATTTAAAATAGGGCAGGTAGGTAGGGAAATTTTTTTTTTGGGGGGGGGGCAATTTTTTGTGTACAATTATATGAAGGTGTCTGCATGTAGTCAAGGGTAAAAGGTAGTAATTGATGGTTTTGGGTGTTTTTTCCTCATTTTTCCAAAAGAAATTAGGGTAGGGGCTGTCAAAATAGGGTACATGTAGATAGGGAAACCGGAAGCAGAACTATTTCTTCTCTCTTTTTTTGGCCTAACTGGAAGCCTGAAAGTTACAGGATGACATCTTTAAAATGAGATTTTTCACAGTTGAGTTGTTTGTTATTTTTTGGCTGGTTCCAGAGGGGCCCGGCCTATACTCTCTCTGTACCTGACTGACTGACTGACTGACTGTCACTTGTGAATTAGACTTGCCTAAGCCTCACATTGGCCCAAAAACGTTTTAAATAGAATGACCCCGTAATGCCAATGAATAGGCTAAATCCGGCCCATTATGCAGACCACATGCATGAAAAGACCTCCAGTGAAAAGCCAATCTGAATCAATTAAATACAATTCTGTGCACTCTGGGTCCAGCTTTACTCATGTAGGCCTCAAGGCTTATGTACTGTGTTGTGGGTTTTTTTAGGAAGTAAGTGAGTGTAAAAAAAAATTGCAATATATATAATATAGTGAAATGATTTGAAACAGTTTTTCAATATGTAGCTTCTAACTTACAAAAAAAGTCAAGCACATTTTGGGCTCTGCATCAATTAGCTGAGATGCGAGACACATGCCTTACACCACAATGCACAATATGTTAGCCGATGATTTTTTTGTGGGCAGGGGAGCAACACTTGTTGGGGGAGGGGGCAACACTATCTGATTCCAGCAATCAGCATATTGGTGCGCTCAGTGGCATTTGCCCAGGGTTGTACAACTTGCAATCACTCACACCTGCATGTAATTCATGATTGAAAATTGTATAGTGATCTCAAACACATCAAATTGAACATAAGGAGTAGCTCTGAATGGCAAGTCCATAAACCGATAAATTCTTTGGGTATCGTATACTTCTCCTAGGTATTGAAGACATGAACTTAATTGATTCCCCAGCCAAGAGTTGGCACACCGCGAGACATTTTTACATCTGGCAATTGGGACGATGGCCTGCCTGCTGTGTTCTGCTTGTTTAACCTTGGCAAAGTATCCCTGGTGGTGAAGGTGTATCAAATCTCTCCCTCGTCTTTCTGTTTCTCATTTGCATTTCCAGCGGCCGCGCCTGCTTTAAAGTTCAACACCATTACGGTAATGTTATCTAGGGATCCCCGGTAGTACGCCTGAAGCACGATACTCTTTGCTCCGAAGTGGGGTTCATCTAATCTCTCCTTCACGTACATGACGGCCTCCTCGTTGCTGAATGCATCCCACAATCCATCGCTGGCCAAGATGAGAAACTGCGGCTTGCACTCCGAGAGGTCAAATGTCTGAATGTCCGGGTCCGCCACGACAAACTTGCGATCTTTGAGAGGGTAGTCGCCGATGGCACGGGAGGTGGCGAGGATCCCCGCCACGCGCCAGACGCCATTGAACGTGATGAAGCCGCCAGCTTTCTTGATGCGCTTGCGCTCTTGTGGGAGGTGGGGTTTGTGGTCAAAGGAGAGGGGCACAGTCCTTCCCTCGTGGTCACACATGACGCCGCGAGAGTCTCCCACATTGGCTACGGTGAGCTCGTTTCCGGACAAGAGCGCCACCAGGGCAGTAGTGCCTGCAATGTAAACAACAACAAACAGCTGACTTTTTACACTAATTTACATGTACATGCATACATGTATACAGCGTACATGTACACAATCATGCCAATTACCAATATGATTTATTGCAATAATCAAAGTGCTTAACTTGCACAACCACACAACAATGAACACTTTACATGTATATACGTATCACCACTGCTGTTTTGCTTTTTGGATTTTAATTGTTAACAATGGGTTATGTAAGAAACCTTCTGGGGCTAATTAAGGCATTTTCGTCCTCCGTCATATGGAATATAATTGACCAGAACATAGCCAACAATGTCCATGTACAGTAAGTGCTACAGATGTGCAAGCAATCAGGTCTAGAATAAATTCTCCTTGGAAACAAACAAACAGGCATTTCCCACAGCAGGATGCATTAGATTTACTCAAAGATAACTTTCATAAAATATACAAGTTCTTAGGAAAGTCAGGGCCTGGGTGGCGGAAAGGGTTTTGGAGTTTTGGAGAGATTTGGAGTTCAAATATTCAAACAAATGTGGGTGGTCTTGAGGAGTTGAAAACAAAATGTCTTTATTGATGATGATTTATTGTTTGGCAAATGCCACACGTTCATTGAAAGCAACACTGCGCATAATTGGAGAGCTTCCATCTGGAATATAAATTCCTTTTCTAAAATTGATCAAACATCAGCCAAAGTGCTGCCTGATCTTTACATTATTTAAATAAGGCCCAAAAAATAATAATAAATCTGCTTCTGATTACATGGCATTTGAAAATTGAGTACGTAATTAGGGATTTTTTTTGGGGGGGGGGCAATTGTTTTTGTGTACGATCATACCGGTATATGAAGATGTCTGCATGTAGTCAAGGGTAAAAGGTAGTATTTGATGATTTTCTTGTTTTTTCCCCTCATTTTTTTCCAAAACAAAATTAGGGTAGGGACTGTAAAAATAGGGTAGGTAGGGTAACCGGAAGCAGAACTTTGGGGGGGGGGGGCCTTACTCAAATAAAGTCTTTGTCAATACTTGTATTTGATGAGCGCAGGTGCAGGCAAATCTCGATCAATTGGCAGTCAGTTTAGACTGGTTTAACCTGATCAGTGCATTTGGAAATCAAATATTTGATCAAGTCCAAGTTGGAAATGGAATAATCAAATACTAAATTATTTGAAAATACATATTGTACAATCAACTGACAAATAGTCTAGTAATTGGGGCTAGCATTCAATTCACATGACGCACATTGGACCAACTAATTACATGCGCGTTTGTTTTGACTAGGGTAACCGTGGGCAATGTTTACCGGCTAAGTGGCGTGTACCGTAGTGACATGTTGTCAGATCTGGCATTGAGGGTAATGGTCGCAATCAATATAATTCATTAAAAGTCCGTCCTTAATGAGACGGTGGATATCTGGCTGTCTGTGCCAATGGGAACCCCCAAATATAACTGTTTTTATGCAACACTCATGTTTTCATTGGAATGATAGTTCATGTTAATTAAACTACACTGTACAATCTGCACCAGTCAGGTTAAGCATTCAGAAGCTACATTTATTTTATTGTATGGTTCGTGAAAGTTACCCAAATCAATAAATATTGCAGCTGTGGACAGTCCAATTAATAAATTTTCCAATTCCGGACCTGTTTTTTCTGAAGAAAATATACTGGTATGTACCGGTACACATGTACATGTGTGTGTGAAAATGTGTGGAATATAAAAATGAGAATTATTTTATTCACATAGTATTCGCTTTTGACCAAAAATTCAATAACATTTCAGGCCAAAAAAAAATAATAGTTCTGCTTCCGGTTACCCTACCTCTACCCTATTTTGACAGCCCCTACCCTAATTTTTTTGGGGGGAGAAAACCATCAATTACAACCTTTTACCCTTGACTACACGCAGACTCCTCCATATGATGGTAAACACAAAAAATGCCCCCCCCCCCCCCAAAAAAAAAAATTCCCTACCAACCTACCCTATTTTCAAATGCCATGTAATCGGAAGCAGTTTACTACATAATTTTTTTGGGGGGGGGCCTTACCCTACATACCCTATTTTGACAGCCCCTACCCTAATTTTTTTTTGGGGGGGGGGGGAATGAGGGAAAAACCCTAAAACCTTTTACCCTTGAGTACATGCAAACATCTCCATATGATCATACACAAAAAAATTGCCCCCCCCCCCAAAAAAAAAATGTCCCCACCTTCCGGTACCTACCCTATTTTCAAATACCATGTAATCGGAAGCAGAATTTCTTCCTTTTTTTTGCCTCATCATCTGTATTTTAACGTTTAGAATGATTGTTTTCTCGTACATTTTGTACATGGCAAATTTACAAAATTGGTAATATACCGTACTTGTCAAATGCTGATAACACATGGCAGACCCATCAGGCATTCAAAATGGGTCATCCTATCAATGAAGGGTCCAAAGTGTGACATTATTTCTGTCCCTGTTACCTTGGTACATTGTCATTTACAAAATGTAAGTATCATTGAGAATGACTTCAAATGATTTTTTATTTGTTAGGTGGGTAGTTTACAATTCATAATCACTCGTGGAGGATGACTGCATTTAAGTTGTGCATCAACATTATATAAATCACAGATGTCAGATGCAACAGGGACAGGGAAAAATGTGAACCCCAAAAATATAGAATGACCCATACATGTACGAGTAAGTATGAACAAACAAAAATTAAATAAAAGATACAATGTACCTATGTAAAAAAATTGGGTTTAATATTTGTCAGTGTTCCCTCTTTGATTTCATCCAATTCAGGCAGCATATGTCGTGAATTATCTGGTCAATTTACCTATTTGAATTAATTTAAGTCACCAATCATGTCTCATTTCTGCTCCCACAGGCTTCCAATCTACGTGCGTCACCCTCTCTATTTGATGATATCTCCCTCCCGACAGTTTGCAAATTGCGAACGGTGAATTGACAACCACATAATCTGAAGATGATGGATTCTAATTCTCAGAACACCACTCAAATCTGTCCCGAATGTCCCAGTTTAAGCACTTCCGTGCATATTTTTAGGGAATATTTTTACAAGTATGAATATTACCATATATAATACTCCTCCTAGCCTGTAGGTATTTTTTACACGTACATGTGTGCATGATAGGCCTAATGCATGGCTCAAAATGTTTGTTTTTATTTTCATATTTATTTGTATACAAGTGTTGATCCAAGAAAAAATGGTTGGAGCCACCCCTCCTTCCCAATATAAGCTATAGATACAGGACATTAATCCCAATTTCCGTTTGAGTTCCCTGAATAATGTCATAACTCAATATTGCAATTCTGAATTGCAAATCTGGATTCACTGCTTGAGGCCTTTTCCCCCCAACCCACCCCCACCCCCTTTCTCCTTCCCCTTGAACAATCCTGAATCTGCCAGTGTATAGGCCAAAGTATTGCCGTCTTGAACAAATAATCCAGGCCTGACTGGAAGGCTTATTTAATGCAGCCATTTGAATTTGACACAAATAAATTGACTTGATATGAACCTCTGCCCAACCAACTCATGTACGTTGCCTTTAAAGCAAATGCAATGAGAGTGAAATTGCATAGCCTAATTTTGTACATAGTATACTCCAAGCCAATCACTTTAAGGCAAATCCAGAGTCAAAACATCAAAACTCGTAGGCGGATCATGTAATGTACATCGTCTCAATTTTCACGGGGGCATGGCAGCCGTTTTATTGAATTAGTTGGTGCAATGAGCAGCATGCCCAGGTGTGCGTAATGAGGTGACGGTGATGGATTTTGTCTCGGAGCACCCTGAATGTGTAGGGCCTATGTAATGTACAATATGATACATGTACACAGAAGCTATGCAGGCATCGTTGTGATGACAGAAGGGTCTGTGTGGGGAGGGTTGTTGACATTTTCATAAGCTCTAGACTGTCACTAAAAGTTCAATTTCCAAATGCAACAAAACAAATTTTTTAAAGGGTCTTTCCTTCTAAGATTTAAAGGTGCATGTCAATAATTTTTCCCTGGTTCACATTTTGTCCCAATATTCATTCCTATGAGATGTATGAAAACTATGCGACATCCCTTTTTGGTGAACATTTTGGAAAGTACACTCTTCTAGCCATTTGGAATGTTCCACGCTTTTCCTGACAACCGAGGGCGCTGTTGCTGAGATGTCATTTTGGGCAATCACATGTAAGTTTTAGGACTTTTTTTGTATGGTCCTCTCCTGACTGGGGGGGGGGGGGGGGGGGGGAGGGGGGACAGGATGATTCCCCACCGCCACACCCCCCCCCCCTTGATTTTTGTGCGGAGCCCCCAGAAAGAATTTTTGAAGTTTGAAAAGAAAACACACACTCTAAAATTAAAATTAAATTTAAATTTAACAGTGAAAACCACTTATCCAGTCAGTTAGTACATGTAGTGTGCAGCAGTCAAATTAATTAATTTTAATGAAAACCACTTTTAGGCCAAGTAAAAAAAGAAAGAAGATTCTTGACCCGTTGACCGTGCTTTTAGAATGGAAGCCCTTTTATTCCCTTTCCCAAGATGGTGGGTGGATCCTTCCATTTACTCAACTCTTTTACAAATGCATGTCCACAGGAGACGTTACTTTTTGTACCAGATTTGAACCTAAATACATAGCTACAAAAGTACAATTTTGCTGGCAACAAATAAAATAACAAAATACATTGCAAATGTATGATTATTGTTTTTTAATTAAAGGAAACAGGCGGGGATGAGAATCTGGTTTATTGTTTTACTTGGCATTTATTGATGGAAGTAGTACAAAGTACAAAGATACATACCTGCAACATCATTATTGGAGCGTGCGACAGTGAGGAACTTCTCATCCAAGGAGAGGATTTCTTCAATGAGGATCTGGGAATGATTGGCTTTACCCTCCTTGAGTAGCGCCTGTAAGACTCGCGCCATCACAGACTGCGAAAGAAGCTTCTCTGTGAAATCTGCTGCAAACTGTTACAAATCAGAAATTGAAATTAACACTGAATTACTGGCTTCTTTAAGTATAAAAAAAATCACATTCTTTCCTTTCATCCATACAAATTCTACTACATGTAGTTGACCCATGAGTGCCAGTGGAACACTGACAAAAAATCTGAGGAACGCTATAACGAACTAACAAGAACTCAAAAGTAAATCAACAGTAAGTTTAAAAAGACAATAAACACTTCTAGAACTAACGAAAATCGTATATTGAGAGAGCTTGAATAGAATACGATTACACCTGATTGGCGCTAGAACTTAGAAAAGAGGATGATATGCCGCTTGGCATCATGGGTACATAGGCGTCGCCAGGATTTTTTCTAGAGGGGGGCAAAACATTTTTTTGCCAAAAAATGCTTGTATTTCTCAACACATTCTCGATTTATCAGTTTTAGAGGGGGGCAGGGTCATTTCCCCCCCCCCCCCCCCTACTCATTACATTTACACCACTTTGTCTTCGCGCCTCTTTTTCTTTTCTTTTCTTTTTTTTTTCTTCCTTTTTTTTTTCTTTTTTTTTTTTGCTTTTCCAGGGGGGGGGGGGCAAGTGCCCCCCTTGCCCCCCCCTCGTGACGCCCATGCATGGGTATTGTGTATTGGCCCAGAGGGCGCTGTGGTAGACGTAAAGTCTAGCGGGTATGGCCTGCGGCTTATGCATGTAGGAATTAGCAGGTAAGAGAGGGGCCGAATTGGATGTACTGCATCTGTGTCCGGGTGGCATAATGGGACACTGACACACTACATTTTCTGTGCATTCAAGAGCACAAGTGGGATAACAAATGTATCTTCAAGCAAACTTGATACAAAATATATAGGACAGCCATTAAAAAGTATGAATTAATGCTCCCACACTGATGTTCAGATGTTAAAACTAAAGAGGCCTAACTGTATTGTTTAAGCTTCTCACACAACTCCCAAATACACATATACATAAATTAAAAAGACACAAAAAGGTACTTCTAGAATTAGAAGGCTTCTCTCTGCTTCTAAATCAAGAAGTAACAGAAAGGTACCCCAGAGTACACAGAAAAGTGAAACCTCGTGGCATACGTACCGCTCCTCCATGGCCGTCAAATATTCCATACATCGCAACTCCTGAATGATTTTTGTCGTGTACAAAATCATACCGATCCTCCATTCTCGGCCTCCTGCCCTGAATTGAATACACCGCCACATTGTCCTTCCTCAACTCCCACTGTTTAGGCCCGCTGTTCTTGCCATTCCGGTCCGACGACAGCGAGCCCGCAGCGGCAACTTGGCCTGAGACCCGACCGTTCGGCAGAGCGTTTAGCCGGCTGTTCTGCACGCTGACCCGCGCCCTGTTGAACACGCTCCGTAGTGAATCGCGGTGAAAGACAAAACTGTACAGGAACAGCAACGCGATCACAAAGGCAACGGTCTCATACTTGAAGACTGTGTTGCGGATGAGCCGGCTAACCACCGCCAAGAGAGTCATCGTAGAGGATGGGCAAGTTCAATTCTCCCTCTGGAGAAATCTGGCCGTAAAATTGGCCGTTTTTCTAGCGATTTCATGTCCTCTTTTGCAGTTTTCGCGAGCCGTCTTGCGATGTTTGTTTTGCTCGTGCACGAATTTGTATACGTGTTGTAATAAGTCTGGTTCTCTGTTTTTAAATGAATATTAATGCATGAAAACGTCAGGACTTCGTACAACTGTATGTCAATTATTAACGAGTGGTGGCGCTGTCACACGCGGGACGAAAATAATAATTCCCAGCCCCGCCCCCCCCCCCCATTTTATAATTTTTTTTAATCCTTCGCATGACTTGAAACTGCGACCAATCAATAGTTATTACACACGTCAACCAGCCAACCAAATATAAAAATAACAGGTTTTTTAAAGAACTCTTCAGGACCAAGCAATCGAAGCCTGTGATACAAAAAGTGGACAAGTTGCATGGAATACCAGAGGTTTTTTTAATTTTACGGAGGTCGGGTGACCGGTATTTGGGTAATTCCATAAATCAGGGGTCCAAACTTGTGACATTTTGGTTTCTCTGTTACACCGTGAACCACTCAGTGTTTTTGCACGTAATAATGTTATAACTTCATGAAACAGTTTGTAGATTGTACAGTACACTATACTGTTCATATATAATATACTGTTCAAATCTTCAAAATGTTTCATTAAGCTGTTATAGGTGCAAAAAACCTGAATGGTTCACGGTTTAACAGAGAAACCAAAATGTCACAAGTTTGGACCCCTGATTTATGGAATTACCCATTTCCCTTTCTACCTTTCAGCACTGGATGCTATACAGAAATTGCGATTTTAGGGATGTCATATATTTTTGCACTTTTTAATTTAAATGTTTACGAAATGTATAAGTACTTATGACTTGTGACTTGACTTGGGATTGCAAAAAAATGACTTGTTACCAACCCAAGTCAGACGCTAAATCCAGTAAAATGAATAGTTCCCACTAGTTTCAAAAGTTTTCAATAAGACTGTCACAGCAAACTACACAGTTTTCAATGACCAAGTCTCTTGCTTAATGTAATGGTTGAACAAACTTTGAAAGGAACCTTTCATGAAAAGAAAGCAGCTCTTTGTCAATTGCATGTAAAATACCGGATAGCCTAACCCATTGGTAGGCGTTTAGTATACATGAAAATTGAACAATAAAGTGTTAGTATACTACATGTAATCGAGTGAGTGAAGTCTTTTTTTCATGTCATCTCAACATTTATTTCTACAGTGTTAAGTAAATTTATTAAAGTATACAAAGGGCTAATATCCGATAGATATGTGATAAACTACAAGAATAGTATTAGCAACATACTGAAAAAGGGGAATTAAGGAGGCATGTTCAAAATAACTCGTAAGTTGACGCCAGGTTCTTTTAGCTTATTACAGCTGGACAAAATAATGTGCAACTTGACGTGTTCCTGGACAAAGATACTTGTGACTTGACTTGTGTTTAGACCAAATGACTTGTGCTTTGACTTGTGACTGGGCCTAATGACTTGTGACTTGACTTGGACTTGCAAACAATGACTTGTGACTTGACTTGGACTTGCAAAAAATGACTTGCTGCCACCTCTGCAAGTAGAACACATAGGTTCCAACTTCATTTGGGACCGCACCAACTGTGTTCCAACCTGGTTTCCATAGCCTTTCGATATAAGAAATGCAGAGGGCCAGCAACGCAAACAAGACTGAAAGTGCAACGCAGACATCAAGGGCGGATCCGGGGGGGGGGGGGGGGGAGGGCAACGCCGGGGGCCATATCCCCCCCCCCCTCAAAAACGAACCCATTTTTTTAAAGTGACGTCGCAATAAAGGCAGGCACTGCGTACACCATCATCTTGTCTGTTAAAAAAATGGTTAAAGTGGTCAGAAATTGCCTCAGATCGCACCACAGAGCATCTAGATTAAACAAAAATGGACTTTGCCCAGGTTTTCTGAATCCCATCTCCGTCTCCGGCAACATCCAAAGCCGCGCCGACACTGAGCAGAGAACCCGGACATCCATATGATTGACATGTCTTCCGATAGGGCATCACAACGTATGACCCCCCCCCCCCCCCCCCCCCCCGCTGAGGCGGAACCCCGGTTTTCTGCTGAAATGCTGCCCGCTTACGGCTAGCTATCCCAACTCTGTCAACATCTGATGTTGCGCCGTCATCGGTTAAGAACCCGGACATCCATGATTGATATGTCTTTCATCAGCATCATAACATTCACACTTGTCTGGGAATCAGATTTCTGAGAATAAAGAAGGGGTCACAGGCCTCGAGCTAGCGGGGGGGGGGGGGGGGGCGTGCCCCCAATCATTAACCTTTCCCGAGTAAACTATCCCGAGTGGCGGATGACAATTTTTTGTTGCCCTTGGGCGCTTATCGTCACGGATAGGAAGAGTCTGGGTTGGTAAAAAAAATAATGTTTAATGTCGAAGATGGCTATATTTGCGGGTATTAACATAATGAGCTAATTATGAATGATTAACTCCACTTGGAGATTTCTAATTACAATCCAAACTTCTTTACCAAATTTATAGGTCTATACCTATGCCTATACCCAACATAATCGGCTATACGTAGCGTGGCGACTTTTGCTTTTTACATAATGTGCGGTAATGATTGGGAAAAGGGGTGGCAGTATGCAGTTTATTCATAACGAGAATTAGACAGTATGTTGATTTGTTTTTGTTTTGTCCGCTCAGGATGGCACAACAAAACAGATTCCTACAGTATATCTACTTGCACAAAAAGCATTGGGTGGATCGGAGCGGGGCTTATCATTCGTTCGAAGGGTGGGGATGTAGTATGGCATGGTCCACTACCGAAGCCTTACTTTGGGAGAACATTGCACGGGCTCTTGCTCTTCGCATTCGTCTGATCCTCAGAAAACGAAACCCGCGGTTTTCCGGAGAAACATGACCTTGTATTTTTAATGTTTCCTGTAAGATTTTTTTTCATGTCAATTCAATGTGTGTAAATAAGCTTAGCGCTTGCTGTACGTTTCGAAATCATGAACTTGGCATGAAATCAATGTTGACGTTAACTCGATGCCGGGTTTTTACCTAAACGATTCCCGACACATTCTGTGTCCGGGACGTGTACAGCGAAAAGGCTCGTATTTATCCACCGCGTATATAAGAATAGGCCTACCACCTAATCGAAATGCAAATATGTAGACATAGCCCTAGGTCACCTAATTCTTATCAGCTATATTAAAATTTACTTGAGAGTAGGCAAACAGAAATCGTATATAAGGTTAAAGTTTTCGACATTTGGCAAGCATAATAATTTCGAGAGTGCCAGCTGTTCTATCAAGTTCAACGTTAACACAGGACATCGAAGGTAACACTTCTTACTACGCCTTTTATTTACCGCAGTCACAAAGTAGGGGGGGGGGACATCTTTTCGAGTTTAAGACAAGATTTTTTTGGCATCGTTACACTTTTTTGTTTTACCATTTAAGAAAGAGGACCGAAATCGTATTTTCCCCGCGACGTTTTTTCTCCTTTTCGCGCCGAATCGAAGTCATGTTGATTGATCTGATTTTTTTCTTCCGTTTAATGCATGCCCATGTTTTGACACTTAAATTTTGACTTTTTTTCGCTACAAATTTATGGTTTGTGAAAATTGCTAAACTGTTTTTCATTGTGCGCAGGATAAAGACCTTTCGCGGACCGTAGTGTTACAACAAGGACTTAAAATTTCCTGGAACTATATTAAACACTTACATACTTTGAAAGGCATGTATGCAACATTCAATAAAATAATATCGGTTACTGGAACTACGTTAAATTTTAGTCTAAACCCTAATTATATGGTGTAATTTCAACCGATTAAAAATATTGGAAACGGAGAAAATACTTTCAACTTTTCGATTTGTTCCCCTAGCTTTTCCTAACGTGCTTAAAGAAAGTCATCGTTGTTGACATGGAAACACCCGCCAAGAAAATGACTGCCGTTGTCATGGAGAAATACGGCGGACCAGAGGTTCTACGACTCAGCACCGAAGTTGAGGTGCCGACGCCTGACGCCAATCAGGCAAGTAAAACAAACGACTGATTTCAAGCCTACATACTAACCAATGAAAATGCGTAAAGTTATTAATTAAAATACTTTATTACACTCTCAATGCTCTTCAACAAGTTTATATTTTTCTGCTCAAAAACTTTCAATTTGTATATGCTTTATTTTGATATTGTGGGCGTCTACTAACGTTTTGGGAAAATATTCCCAAATCAAGTTTTTAAAGTTATGTCATAACTAAATGCAGATTTTTCTTTTTTTCGTTCGACATCGCATTCACAAGTTGATAAATTATTTGTTTATTGCATGCACCATTTTTGGTGTTTATTAAAATCTACTTTTCGCAGAGAAACCTCGACAATAGAACGGAAGAGCAAGTTTGATAATGATCGCCAGAATCTCACGTCCAATGTAAAAAAAAATCATTTGCAGGGCGCGGGTCCTATTGGTAAAGTTGTTCGGCATTATCTGCCATTAGGGTACTTGCTAGAAAGGCCGAGCCCGATTCTGAAAACGAAGAACAAAGTAGAGCACTGAATCTTGACTCATTATGTGTCATTGGTCATTCCTATACTCAATTATCACCAGGTTTTGGTGCAGATGAAGGCCATTGGAATCAACTCGGTAGATAGCAGGGTACGAGAGGGCGGTTATATGCAGAAGTTGTTCAAGCCAGGCCATGCACTGGGCATTGACGGATCGGGCATCGTAGAAGCAGTTGGCGAAGGAGTGGCTAAATACAAGGTACAACTTCAGATTTTATGTATGTTATTATTTTTTTTCAGTTTCATTCTGTCTCGGTTTTCCCAAATGTACTTAACGCGCATCAAATGTACTGAAAAGATTAAAATAATCATGTTCTTCAAAAAGTGGTGTTCGCCCTCCATCCCAGAAAAAGAGAATTAACTTCTTACCGAAAAGTGCATCCGAAGCTGAAATAGATTTTGAAATTTGCCTAAATTTATTCAAACTGCTGAGTTTAAAACAGCATCTGCTCACATTTTAAGTACATAGTAAACTGATATACAACAGACAAATATAAACATGTGACTTTTAGTGACCTTACTTGCGATTTGACTTTCGTTTGGCTTGTGACTGGCTTGTATTGGCTTGAGATTGGCTTATGATTGGTTTGTGATTGACTTGAGATTGGCTTGTGATTGACTTGTCTGCTTAACTGTTCCATAAAATTGGAATATCAGAAGTGACTGAAACAGTGTTGTATTCGTACTTATGCTGCAGCCTGGTGACAGGGTCTACATAGTGCCGGGTAAAACAGGGACGTACGCCCAGTATGTCCTCGCCAATGAGAACAGCGTGTACCCGCTACACGAGAAACTCAGCTTCAACGAGGGGGCGGTGTTGCCAATTCCATACTTCACTGTCTACCGTGCATTGGTCCAGAGGTGAGTTTGATGGAAACAAAACATGTCAAGTTTCATCCATTTTAAGTTTAGGCATGTGTGTCGAAAAAATTGCAAACTATAGAACTCTGTTCACAACTCCACCTATATTCATTTATCGACATTTAAAACTTCAAACGACTTATGATATCTGCCTCTTTGTTCATTTAAATTATCCGACGGCATTCTGGCAGGAACTTTCTAGCTTTTTAAATCTCTGACCATATTATGTATTAATCTTTTCTCAAACCAATTTCTATGACGAAATAATAACTATTTAAACCAAAGAAATAGATTTCATGTTCCCCGCAGTTAATGTAAGGGCTATTTACTTCAAGTGAAAAATACAAACCATGCTTAAACATGTCCCCCCCCCCCCCCAAGGAACGAACAATAAGCGTTTTTTTTCCTCATTTGTTTCCCATGTAAATAGGGCGAAGTTGGAGAAAGGAGAAACTCTACTAATCCAGGGGGCAAGTGGCCAGGTAATTATGGAAATTCTGTGTTCTTAATGGAAAAAAATACAATTGTTTTAACAACCACCAAATTAAATTTTACATCATTTTGTAAGAGCTCTGGTGCAGAAATATTTATTGGTAATTATTTTTCAAAATGTTACACTGGCCCTTTTAAAGATTTTCGGGAATCATCATAATTGTTGTTAGGTCAGTTTGTGATTTTATGAGTACTAAGACTTTTACTGTATTTCATTAGGTGGGCCTGGCATGTATACAGATTGCACGTTGGCTGGGAGCCAGTTACATTGTCGGGACGGCTGGAAGGCTGGAGGGGCGAAATCTTGCCTTGAAGTCAGGAGCAGATGCCGTCATTGACTACCGAGCAGACGACTTCCAGGATCAGTTGAAAGTAAATAGACATTGGGGAGGGGGCGTAAAGCAGTCAAGGAGCCAGACCATTGTCAGGCTGCTGCCATCATGGTTTTTACATAAAAGTCTATTTGATTCAGAGTGAGGCTATAGAGTAAAAAAGGCTGGTGCCCTTATGTTTACAATATAATTGGCATAATTTATGGATACATAATGGCACCATATCAAACAACTATAGACTCATTATGTGTCAATATGATTTTCTTTAAATCTGAAGACTCTGTAGTAAAATTATTTCTGTTTGTATAAAATATGACTTTTTGATAATTATTTCAGGAGGCATTCAAGGACAAAAAGATTGATGTCATCGTTGAGATGAACAGCGACATCAACATGAAACTGGATATGGAGATCATCGGATACGGGGGTCGTATTGTGGTATGTCCAAAATGTATATGTGTGATGATTATTTGTAAGTAAAAAAAATTAACTCTCATTACTCAATGAGAGATACTTATTATCATGAATATGTGATTAACCTGTGTGGACTTGTGTGGACTTGTGACTGACTTGTGTGGACTTTTGATTTACTTGTGTGGACTTGAGACTATTTATGATGAACTCAAGTAAGACACTGTTAAACCATGACTATACATTTTTAATCAGGTTGTTGGAAAGAGAGGAGAAACGAAATGTGACCCAGGAAACCTTTTGGGAAAGGAGGCTTCTGTGATGGGAAGCGGACTCAGACTCTCAACAGAGGTAAATAGACAATGGAGAGAGGGAATAATATAATTTCAGATTGTAGGAAAATAGGATAAGATCAAGCCCCAGCTTCAGTGAAGAAAATCTGAAAAATCAGTGTTAGATGAGGGTGCCCAAAAGAAGCCGTTGATTCAGTCTTGTAGTTATAGGTCCATTGTGTTGATGGCCCCAACTCATTCTTTCTAATACATGTATATTCAAATATATTTGAAATATATAAGAAACAAAAATCCATCCTCAGCCAGTATGGCTCATCACGCTGATTTTGATCTGGTTTCCTTGAAATGAAACAACAGAGAATATTTCTTTTCCCCGTGGATGTGATGCCAGTTGCAGATTAATCCCAAGCTAATGCAGGTACCCATTTGCACTCCTGGGTGGGGAGAAGCAAGTGGGGTGAAGTGGCTTGCCCAAAGACACAACACATGGCCAGCAGCTAGATTAAAACCCCTGACCCTCTGATCAAGAGTCATGAACCCCAACCACTAGGCCACAAGCATGGACCCCATAACCATCAAGGTTACCATAATTAATGGCAGAAAACTTTGTTCTCTTCTCTATATACAGAGTCAGCGTATGACAATGGCGAAGGGTCTTTACGAGGCTGCAGAGGAGGGCTGGATAAAACCACACATCAATAAGGAGTACCCTCTTGAAGAAGCAGAGAAGGCACACCGGGAGATGGATGACCGTAAGGGTGGGGTCGGAAAGAGTATTTTTGTCTTGTAAAAGTTAAGACTGTGCATCTGACAGTTGAGAATTTTGTAACTTGGCATTTTTTTACAGCTTCAATTTGTGACCCAGAATAAGGTGCTTCCATGCATTAGGTATTTGAAGTTGTAGAACTAGTTTTTTACAGTTGCCAATGTATTAACTTAATTATAAAGTGGTGGCTGAAATATTTATGAAGATGTGTTCAAGATGTCTTTCAGGGAAACTTGTTTATTCATCCAATGCAAGAACAATGGTTGTAATTGTTACACAGCAAATAAGCTTGGTTTTACATTATATTAAAGTATCTTTAAAAACTTATACATTTCTCTCAAAACGCATGAAAACAATCCAGCTAGTGTTTCTATCACACACAAAGAAAACAAAATACCACTTTTTTTCTAATTTATATATTTACATACCGGTACTTTGGATATGCAGTGTAAACATATTAGACTATTTTACGTGTGAGTATTTATATCAAAGTACATCTAGACTTTTTCAGACTTTAAAGTATTCTTAAGTTTAACTGTTTTTATTTCATGTGTCAAAGTGCAGAACTTTGTAAGATGTCCATGATTGCGATGTGTGAATTTGCTACAAAATGACAACTGTTCACGACCAGTTTCTTCATAAATACAGTCAAAGTTGACAATAAAACGTTGAACTTGTTTTCAGGTTTTCAATTATAGCTGTAATTCTCGGTAACATCCCTCTTTGTATTGTATTCATCCGCAATGTTGGACTTAGAAGTAGAACTCACACTTCCGCCTACGTTAACCCCCTTCCCTCCACCCAGTGACCCCGCCAATGTACCTTTGCCCCCTGACCCCTTTGTAAACTTTGACCCGGACCCTTCCTGCCCTTTTAACCCCTGACCCTTAGCGGCTGCCCCGGATTGGTTCTTGCCACCCTGGACTTTTGCAATTGGGTTCATGTGACCTTTTTGTTTTTGACCCCCTGACCTGCCAGTTGGGCCGTTCTGGTTCCACTTTCCAGTTGTCGCGGCATTGCTAGCTGCTGTGGGGTTGTCTGATGGACGTCCATGGTTTGCATTGGTCCCAGGTCCTGACCCACCTACAGCAGTCTTACTTGTTGGACTGGGGCTCCGGCTGCTGCGACCTGGTCAAATAATTGCACAAAACAATGATCGACACTATCTGAAGTATTACTTGAGAATCAAATTCAAAATTTTGTGGGTAATTTCATAGGTTGTGGGTTCGAGTCCAGCCTGGGGGATTGTGGTGTGTGTGTCCTTGGGCAAGGCAATGTGTCACTCATTGCTTCTCCAAACCCAAGGTGGTATTAAGGGGTAATGCTTTACAATTCACCAGCCTCCAACCAGTTAAAGTCACAAGGGGGAGTCAGTCAGTCAGTCTCCCCGTCGGGGAGTCGGTCAGTCAGTCAGATAGGTACAAAGCGGACACTAGGTTGGCCCTCTGGGACCAGCAAAAACCCAGACAAGACATTATCTTTGTATCTTGGCCATACCTCCGATTCTGATGCATTCTTCCTTGTGTCTTGCGTTCCACGCCTTGATCTTACATGCTTTGCTGCAGTAGTACACCTCCTTGCAACGAGTGCAGGCCGATAGCCGCACGCCCAGGCAGCGTCCACATTCATAGCAATACTTAAACAGGGGCTTCCTGTGTGTTGGGAAGAAATAGACGGTGATCAATAATTTACGAATGGCTGTGACTGTGGCTATCTACGCCTTTCAACAGCAGTGCCTTCCTGTGACGGACTCCTTACATTTGACATTGGACTTATAAAGAATGTGTCTTTTTTTTCTCTGACAGAGATTGAGTAAACACAAATTTGCAAACCAAACAGTGTTCTCAGTGATGGTTGATAAAACATCATGTCCAATTCTGATTTTCTGCTTTCTGAACACACTATGTTGATGATGCAATAATCAATAAAAGGTGGCACAGGTACTGCAACAAATTACTATTTATAAAATGATGCAATTTTTTCGTTTTGTCTGTTACCGTATATAAAGGCAAAAGGCAAATCACAATATCGAATAAAAAGTGCACAAATTGAAGCAGTGCTAAAACAAATTGAAGATGTTTATCCTTTTCTGACTAACAAAATATCTATTTTTTTTTTGCAATTGTCACACAGCTAATGTAACATCTAGCTTTTTACATGTAAACACAAAAAGAAACTTGATAAAGTTTAACAGAAAATAGAAATCATTTTGCGCATTTGTACCACTGAAAAAAAAAAAAAACCACCACCACATTTATATTACTCTGCACATACAAACAAAATTGATTTTGGGGTCAGTATGACCATCACGTCCAATTTAAAGAGAGATCAGATCATGAAAATAATAGATTTTGGCCAGCAGGTGGGAACAGGTGTCAACGTTTTACTGTCAAGTCCAAAACTTCACACTTGAACTATTCTGGCATGTTTGTACTAAATTAAAAAAAAATTAAAATAACTGTCACAATTACAAAATTTGTACAAATGGCACCAGACGTCAGAAACATGTCTGGTTTTAAACCATGGCAGTAACTTGGTGACTTTATACGTTATTAAGAATGGACTGACATTACCCAATGAAACAATTTCATTTATACATGCAGAGTATTAAGCAGACAACAGACTTTATGTCCGAAAGTCAGGTTTAAAAAAATATCTAGAAGTGGCTTGTGCTTTCACACTGCAAACGATTGCGTACATTTGTGTTCTACATCTGCTACATGTCTATGCTGTTCAGAAACCAAGTTTGGCATTGCAATTCTAACTATTGCTATACATGTGTTTGCATTGTCTGCAGCCATGTTTGAGGTGTGTGCTTTTGTTCAACAGGGATACGCATGAGTACATCGCTTGTGCATTCACTGTTACTGAATTGACATAAAACACACCTCAAACATGGCTGCTAAATGCAATCACTCTATATCCACTGTAGTCACTAAACTTTTTTTTCTCAAAATCTTTTTTCATATTGTGAAATGTAAGTGATAACTTCATACAGTATTTGTGACGTGCACGGTGTGTTGAAGTATGTTTTTTTTTGCACATGTAGTTCATGTCAAATGGCCACATTTGCAAACCATATGGAAAAAACATGCCGTGTTGAAAAAACAACAAAAAGGAATTCAATAGTGTTGCAGTGACAGTTGCTTTTATCGATGGTCTTGCTTAAAAAAAAAAATTAAAAATGTACGGACAAATTTTTGCATTTTACGAAATGTTTTCGCGTGACGTCACTGACAAAATCACAGCATCCATTGTGTGCTACTTTTTTTTGAAAACTGGTGTGTCACTTCACCTGAAATGCGATCTATCATTTCTCCCATGAGGTCTAACATCGAAAAAGTTAACAGGATTAGGAAAATAAATGAACAGAAAGATCAACCAAAAGAGAAGTTGTCAGGTTAAAAATAGTCAGAAGATGAAAATGGTGAAAGTCAGGCACAAAATGTTCAGAAATAGATATGTGGCACTACAAATTTCAATACAAATATGAAGAATTTAAACACAATGAAATGAATTGGGGATACAAATTAAAATGTAAAGAAATGTGCATTTCACAAAATGTTAACAAACATTTGTTAGAAAATTTGTTAAGCATTGTCTTTACTTACTTCATGCATCTTGAATTTCAAAAATTGTTTTTGGCGAAGAAGGACTTTTTCTCATTAATTTTGTTTTGCTGTTCCCAGAGTGCCAGCCTAGTGGCCTCTTTGTACCCATCTCACTGACTGACAGACAGACAGACAGACAGACAGACTGACTGACTGACTGTCACTTGTGAGCCGGGCAGTGCCATTGTATAGGATTACCCCATAACGCCAATGAATGTGCTCAATCCAGCCCATTGTTTTAAAACCAGATGCTTGACAATGCTCCCAGTCAACAGTCATTTTGAATCAATTGGATAGATTTGCACTCTGGGGCCACTTTTCATAGACTTACTTAGTCTTGTTTTAGTTTGCTGTTCATTCAAATTGCCCTTATTTAGCATCAGGCAAAATAGAGAAAGAGTATAAGAACAATTCAACAACTCTACCATCTCTACGTGACTACGGATCAAACGCCAGTGTGAATTGGAACCACAGCAAACAAGGAAAGAAAACAAAAATTGTCACTCTCAGGCCGACCTTTGACGTAACTTCTTGGACTGTAAGAGCTGTTTCACTGCATTCGCATCCAAACCCATTTCAACAACATCCACTTTCAAAACAGTGGTCTCACTGTTTGCATGGTGGGAAGAACGATGGGTGCGGGTGGTGTAACAGAAGGGTGGACAGAAGGGTGGGCAGAGAGCGCCAGGGTCAACCAAAGTATTGGATATATTTTTCATGCAAGTGGAAAGCGTGTGGGGATTCGGACAGTAAAGAAAAAGATGGGAGAATAATATTGTTAGTTGACCGGCAAGCTGACACCAAAAGAGAGTTTGTTTAAGACGTATGGATAATGTAAATCATTATAACTTCAGTTTGTTCTTGTTGATAGAAATTAATGCCCATCTCGTTAACTCGTTAGCACCTGAATTTGTACTTCATTGTATAATGTTATTCCCGGACAAATTCATAAAACCATAGAGTGCTTGGCGATTTCGTGCTTTACAAGGAGTAAAAGGAAGAGAAATTTCCATACTGAAAATTGGTGTAACTCTCCGGAAAACTATGTCCCACATGGAAACTTAAAATCATTGTTATCTTCCCAACCATTAAAGAGAAGATCCCCCACCCTTAACTTTGTCTAAAAGCAAACATATGAAATTTCTCACAATGGCGTAAATTTCTGAAAAGACTACTGGATTTTCAAGTCCAGAAAAAAAACAGAGAAAATTAATGTCCTAGCACACTTCTTGTCTTTCCCACCCCCTCCCAATCCCCGCCCCCTCCCCCCGGCATTTTCATTGCACATGAAAAGCACACATTGCAATAAGTGAAGTGACAGGTTAATTTACCTTCGAATTGGTCTCCTGAAAATGCAAAGCATGCAAGCAAGGAAAAAAGGAATTAAAAAGCCGAGAGAATTGTTAGTGCATGTGAAGGACGGCCGATCGTTACTGACAAGTTACCACAAATCAAAGACAGATTTTTGATTAAAACAAAAAAGATCAGGCCAAGGATGGAAAGTTAAAATCTAATCGGAACAGCCAGAATTATCACAGACCTTAATAGGAGTAATTTTAAAATTGACTCTGATTCTCAAACTTGATTAAAATTGGAAAGAAGGAAAGTGTCAGTCTCTCTTGATCTGTGAACAGGCTCAGATAAAGAGAAACACTTCACCTTTAGAAACTAGGTTAGTAATTGACTACTATTTGATAGACATGTACAAGGTGGTCTACATTCAGAGCAATAGTTGGTACATTTGTTTCTGCCGTTGTTTGGGTACTCTCTTCACTGTTGCATGTACACCTCAATTATAGCAATGAACCCAATTATAATTGAGACAGCCCTAACTACAGTCCTTTTTCTATTCAAATTTGTGATTTGGTCTTGGGGAAATCAGACCCGTCTCGCAAATCTAAAGGGAAGATTTGTCATGAACCGCAATTTTCTGCCATGATTGAGCATCCACTATTACTGTCAGGTCATTGCCTGCCTTGGGTCTGAATTGACAAATGCGCTAACCACAGAGTGCATGTCTCCTTTCCCCAAACCTTTATGTTGGAATCTGAACTCACCTGACTGTGCCATCATCATCCCTGTCCACCAGGGGCTGCTCCACACCTGAACTGTCCTTAGTGATTGCCCGGAAGGCCACCTGCTTCCCCCCGTCTCCCCCCTCGATGCTCCTGGGGGTGGGGCTGTCCCCCCTGCCCCCATGCCTCAGGGTCTTGGTTCGGTCGATGCCCTCTTGGGACTTGGCACCGGCACCAGTGTAGAGAAAGCCCTGGCTTGGACTCGAACCTGGGACAAGAATAGATACATAGACCTTCCTGAGATTGCTGTTTGAATTGGAGTAGCACTTTATGAAAACAAAATTCCCTGAGTTTGCCCTGATATTTTCCTGAGAAATTTCCACAATTCTATGAGAAATACTTTCACTTTAGTGAGGTTGCTGGGAAGTCAAAAGGTGGGTGCAGAAAAGCAACTACGACGCTAATAATATTCACACTGCATGAACACTAAAAACTCAACAAAGCCAGTCAGTCAATGGATACAACTTAAACACATGGTACAAGATGCACATACACCAAACCGGCAAAAATCTTTCCTTTCTGGGTCACTGTCAATTTTCCAGAGTTTTCCCTCATTCTTGTTTTTACCCAAATCCCCAGAGTTTTTCCTAACTGGAAAATTGGAAACTCATTATCAAGGTTTTCCATGAACCCTGATCTTATGGCTTGTTCATGCTTCACACGAGTGTGATTGTGGGGCAAATTTGACAACATATGCGCTGTAATACGACAGGATCGAAATATTTTCAACTGTTGTGAATTTCTCAAATGACATCACAAATTGACGTTCTCATTTCCGTTTGTGCCAAGTATAGAACTGGCCCTTAGGAAACTTACTTCTGATTCCGCCTAGTTCCTCCATCTCCAGTCTCTCTCGTTCCCTCCTCACGGCTGCCTCTCGCAGAATGTCCCCCAGGTGAGCTAGCAGCTTGCGTCGGGCATTGTAGGTGTCGCGTTCAGAGTGGGTCAGGGCGTGGTAGGGCATGTGCGCAATACGACGGTCCTAAAACGGTGAGGGAATCTAAATCAATTTTTGTTCCTGTCTAACAGACAGTCAAAAATTGAATCCTCTTCCCTTTCTATGCCTTCATAACACAGGCTAGTCACCAATAGCCAGATCACATTTCTGATAAGCACTGTGACTAGTCAAATGACATCAACAGACTAAAGCACGTAACTGGTAGGTACAGCTTTCAGTCTCCTACAGTCAAGGCAAAGCTGTATCAACAATTATTTGGAAAAAGGTATGGATTTTCAAGAACAATGAAAGCAAATCTGGAAATTGAACATGGTTTTGAGGATATTAAAAAATCTGAAATAAAAACAAATGGTTTGAGGATGTTACTTACCTGATTAAACATCCAGTATGCGTAATCTACGGCTGTTCCCATAACTTTCTTTCCTCCCACCTGTACAGGTGCTAAGATATTGGCTCCTGCTTTCACCAGCTTGTCAATCTGCAGGGGGAGGAAGGTGACAAAATAACTCACTATTCAACCAAAATTTAAAAAGAGAATAGCAGCTGCCTTGTTGTACGATAATGTCAAGTCAAGAATTTGTTGATGAATATACAAAAACGGAAATATAGTTTAAATCACTAAATTGTGAATCACAAGAAGAACGTATCTTTGGAATTTCCAGAGCACACAAAATTCTATTTAATTAATTAGAATGGCTATTCACTGGAAGTCTTTTCATGCATCTGGTCTGCACAACAGGCAGGATTAAGACTACTCATTGGCGTTATTGAAGTAATCCTATACAATAGCACTGCCCAGCTCAGGGGAGAAAGTCAGTCAGTCAGTCAGTCAACGCGTCAGTAAGATAGATACACAGAGGACACTACGCTGGCTCTTTATGACCAGCAAAAATAAGAAAAATAACTGACTTACGAGGGCTATCCGTTGTTGTGGTGTTCTTCTGAACTCATAGGCCGCGTTAGCTGAAACACACAAGGCACTGCCAATACCTGTACCTAGAGGTAGGCTTGGGTTAGCTCCGTACGCTATCAGCTCATCAATAGCCTGTGGGCAAACAACGTGAACTTTTAGGTCCAAAGATTATAGGAACAAATCCAACCCTGGCCAGGACCAGGGTTGAGAGGCTCTACCAGGGTAGAGAATCCAAAATCTACAGCTGACCAATGTACATGTACCGGTGTCAGTGTGAATGGTACGCCTTGCCTACCCGTGTTTGTTAAGACCCGGTTCCACTTATGGTGGACCCATGTTGATTTGAACATGGGTCCATCATCACAAGTTCAAAATTAACATGGCTCCTTTTTCAGTGATAAAAGCATTTAGTGAAAGAAAAAATGATATTTGGGACTATCCTACCAGATCGTTGCCACTGGCGATGGCCAATGAGAGTGGTGACTGGCCGCAGCAAAGCACATTGGGATTGGCACGGTGCTCCAACAATAGATGGACGACTTGTCTCGCAAGCTGTAGATTAAACAAAAAGTCTTACAGTTGAATATTCATAAACCAATCTGTTAAGCCCTGCCCCCATGTTTTGACCAATCACTAGCCCGGTCTGATAAATATTTAACTTTACTACATGCAAAGTGGGCGTGGCTTGTGAAGTGCCATTGTCAAATGATTGCAGTGTCAGACTGAAGTGCCATGGTCCAACGGTTGCAATGTCAGACTCATGTACCATGGTAGGTGGGTTCGAACCCTGACGGGGAATTTGATTCTTGTGTTCTTGCGCAAGAAAATTTATTACAAATGCCGCTCTCCACCCAGGATTATAACGGGTAACTTTTAGGTTATAGACCAGACTGCGCTGATTTCAAGCTGCTGATATCGACAATCCACCCTAAAAAAATGTTGCATCCCTTTCCTGATGGAACCGTGACCCCTACTCACCTCATGGTTGTCATCCCTGTCGCAGGCGATGTGTAACGGGGTCCGTCCACCCTTGTGCTCACCCTTCTCCTCTAGCTCACGCAACAGAACCGAAACGCTGTCGTCTAGACCCGGTCGTATCTTGACTGGGTTAGCGCTGCTTGGCACGATGTACTGTAAATAAAAAAGACAAGTTTTGAATTTTTCCCCCTGTACTTTTTTACCTCAGATTTTTTTAAATACATGGCATGATTATTTTTGTCTCTTTTTTTTACCGTTTTTTGTAGGTCACGTTATAAATATATATGCATGATGAAAAGTAATTTGCTCAAAGAAAAGCAATTTGCTCTAATAAAATTTGACATTTGTTTCAACGGACCCCTTCATGTTGCAAGTCGTTGTCCTGGGAACGAACGTTGGGATGAGCGTCTGCTGCAAGGAGTAGTCTGGTGATCTGTACCCCTTCCTCACCACGTATGGCACTGGCTATGTGCAAGGGTGCCAGACCTTCTTTCTATAAAAGACAACAGAACAAACGGTCTTGTTGAAGCAAGTTCATTTTCTGACAACACGATTAAAGATGAACATGTACAGATGGACATGGTTGGGAAAAACAAGCTCAATCAAAAACATCAAGCAAGTGTGCATGGCTCAAGCTTTAAAAAAAAAAGTAGAGTAAACTGCGTAAAGAACCGTTTCTCGTTTCTTGAGAAATATTAAAAAACATTTCTATAAATTTCTTAAATTCGGCTTAAGTATTGCAAAGATATTTCAAAGCCCTTAATAAAATCCAGCTCTTAAACAAACTGCCTTGGCTTCCATAAGAAATATTTCTGATTTTTTGGGTGAAATTTCACTTCAGTGACATGTAATTGTTTTCCAGACAAGTTTTGGCTGATCCTGGAGAACCAGCCTATTGTCCTCTTTGCGGGTTGATGGCTTCTCACTAGCGTCCATGGAACAAAGACATTGACTAAAATGTTGAACCACCAGCATAGGGCTGGATAGCTCAGTTGCTAGTCCAGGTGTTAAACCCTGCTTTGTTAAATTTCAAATAATTCTGTAAAGCACACACCTTGTTGGACAATCTGATGTCAGTGAATGCACCCTTCTCTAGTAACGCTTGTACCGCGTCGACATCGGCAGCCTTGATGGCAAAGAAGATGACTGGCATAGGCACACTGGATGCGTTGGGGTCAGCGCCGCGCTTCAATAAAAGACGTATTGTGGCTTCCATGTTAGCATGCCTAGTAGCAGATAAGAAACGACAGGAAACATTTGCTTCAGGGATTAATTTCTACCCAGAACACATAAATAAATTTTAAAAACCTTCAATATTTCATCAGTTGCTTTAAAAAAATTAAAGAGGTTGGCCACCACAGGCATTTCACTTTCGGTTCTGGCTGCATAAAAAGGCATGTTGTTTGCAGCACCAGTACAAACTTTAATCCAAGTAATTTGTTTTATCATAATTTGCTAGGTTACATTTGGGATAAACATTTTTTTAAAGAGGTGATGTAAACAATAAACTTGATATTCTGAGAAAAAGACCATGAGAAAGTTGAAAACAGCCTAAAACCAAGACAAGCAGTGCCTCAAACTCAAAGTAGTCCTGTGTGTTTCAGAATGTTCCTAAGTTTGTAAACTGGCATGTTACTCCTAGGAACTAATAGTACTCACTCTGCCTTCATAATGGCCCTCAGCCTAGCCTGGTCCATGTTAGGCTCACTACACCGTGAATCTCTCCCACTGACGATACGTCTGTTGTTACTCATCACGGTGGCACTCCTCTCGACCAGATCCTCCGTCACCTCAATCCCATAATTCACCACGGTGGTATCCGATTCAAACTCGCTGGGCAAAGTGCTCGGTATCCGGTCCTCTTCTGCCCTAGTGCCCAAATCACCTTCCTGGGGGTCCTTAACTGGTGTCCCAAACGGTCCTCTTTCGTCCAAATCCTCATCGTCGATTCCATCATCGTCATCATCACCATCGTGGTGACCATCATCCACATCTTCATCCTCGTCTTCGTAATAATCAGCAGGCATAGTCTTGGTCATAGACTTGGAACTCGTCACGGAATGTGTGTCCCCACCCCTACTGGAATAGGCACTCCCGCTTCTCTCGCTAAGGGCCGGTTTGATTGGGCAGAGGGTCAGGCTGTGGATCGTTTCATTCTCTGGATAGGGGAGGTATCGTTCGGCGATGTTGTACTGGAAGGACTTGGTGGGATAGAAGAGTACATGGCAAGCGACTAGCGCTGATAAACCCTCGTCGTTCAGTTTGTTGACATCCGCACCATTGTCCAGTATGGTGTTGATAATGTCACTGTGCATGTTCACCTTAAAAAAAATACAATAAGATTTTACCCGTTTTAGTTCCTTTTAAGTTGTCTCCTAAAAAGATGATCAATTTGAAGAGAGAATTTGTCATTATTTAGAACATTATGTATAAATCAAAATATTTTTTTGAGGTAGCCGACCAGCTGAATTCTGACAGATTTAAGATGCAAATTACGACTAAATTTCTCATGAAAGCTGTCAAAGCATGCCTGTATGAACACAACTGTGGCGTTGATAAATTAACTCTTAACTCATACAAATGAAATAACATCACAAAATTGTTTGTCATCTTCTCAAGACCACTCAAATGTTGTTAATATTCTATTCAGAAAAATGCTTTTCGGATATTCAGTGGATGATCAGGTATTCATAATATTCGGCACAGCACACTTCATATTAAAAACTTATACTGAGTATATCATATATCAAGTTGTTGTTACATTAACTAGATAGTTTCAAGAGTGATCTTATAAAATCATGACTTTTGGGTGTCATCATTAACGAAATGGTAAGATCAGAATCTCGCTTACTGCAGCTCCCAGCAGAGCCATGTGACCCTGCTTATCGGCAACATTGACATTACTGGCGCCCTGCATAAGGAGTGAATGCACCGTCTGCTGGTCACCGGCCGCAGCTGCCTTGATAAGCTGTTGAGATGTGTCTTCGATCGGACCCATCTTGCCATGTTTCCCACGATCCCCTGGCAAAAATGGGCCATACAGATGATGAAAAAATAAACTTCAAAAATCTAGATTTAACCCATGAGTTCCCAAAGTGACCTGAACCACCCTGCCTGCTACTACTGTACTGCCCCAGTATTGTATGGATCCATGGATTCAACAAGGAATTAACACAATGTAATACAATGTAGTAATTGTGATCATGCACTAAACTAGTTCTACACCATCAATTTACTGAAAATATTTTTAAAAAGTACAAATTATAAGCAGTTAAAAGTTATTTTCAAATCTTAATAATAAAACTAGACTTTCAAACATTGCACCCAACAGTGCATTCCCGGTGTTTCTGGATTTAAAAATGAAAAACATTCAAAATTCAAAAATCTATTTTTCTAAATATCAGTCTGAATGAAATCTTCCTGCCTGTCAATCAAACAGTGTGCACTGACCAATCAGATCACCACTTTTGGTCAGGTGACCATGACAGCTCAATCAGAATGTACACACATCAAATGTGGGCGTGGCTTATGACCAAATAGGAATGGTTCATTAGGCTGTCTTTCTTACCGTGTAAAATCTTCCCCACGCAGAACGACATTTCCTTCTCTCGGCCCCTGTGCTTGTAAACGTGCCTCTGTATGCTGATGAAAGACGGGGTATTGTTGAGGGCAACGACCTCTGATGACCCTTCACCTTCCGGGCGACAGCTCTACAAAAGATAAACCAGAAATGATCGATCTCTGACATTTTACGTAATAATTTGACAGGAAAAATATTCCTGATAATCTTGCAGAAAGGAAGGCGAATTTGATGGGCCACCCTCCACCACCCCATGTTCAAACTGGTTTGGCAAACCCTTTTACTGTAGTGTCCCACTTCCTCTCCCTGCCCCTTCCTGATCCCTGAGGAGCTCCAAATTCTCACCTTTGTGAAGAAGGCCTGGTCATATTCCTCTTTGTCATACTGCAGCGTCAGGAGATCCACACTCTCCTGTCTGCTTGGGAGGAAGATATCAAAGTTGGTGGAGAAGGACGTCCTGGAGAGTTTCTCCATGGTGTCACGGACGCTGTCGGTGGCATCCCCTGATCCGTCGGGCTGTAATGATAGGCCGTTCATCAACTGTGGACAAACAAAAACAGGGAGAAAAGTATCACAAAAATAAAGTTGGTTAGATGGTACAGGATTGCTCTCCTTGTTTTCTATGTCATGTGCAAGGATGTTGTTTGACAGATTGCTTCAAAGTAGAACAGGAACATTAACACAACTATGGACCTAGTGCCAGTTCTTTATTGACAGTTTGGCTCAAAATTTGATTCTTGAAATACATATGGACAAGGCCAAAACCCCAGCCTTGACAGATGCAAACCAACAGGCTTTTCAATGTTTTCTCCATGGATGTAAAATATTATGTGGATTTCCTGCGATCAAAACCTGTCAAATGAATACTTGTGAAACAATCGAAAACATAAAATGTTGGCAAATTCTGGCTTAATATGCACCTTTTACTTGTCTCACTTTGATATTGTATTCAATAATATTAAAATGTAATAATGAATAAAAAATATGAACTAAAGTTGACAGAGTTTTTCCAACCTGTATATTTTCATTTTGGTGCATGTTTATTGTCATCTGATGCTCAGCTGGGTCGTAGTCAAACTCCGGGTGATGACGCATAGTGAAGGCGCCCTCTATTGGCTTGCATAGTTTGACAAGTCGTTCCTTGTGCCAGACACCCACGTCTTGCTGGCCGTTGGTGTAAGTCAGGATTCCCGGTCCAAGCCTTTCACCATCTTTGTACAGACCCTGAAAAAATATGAAACAAAAATATAGAAAGGTGCTCTACCCATGCTATTGTCAAGTTTCACCCCCAAAACAGATTTTATTGAAGGCATAAATATTCATTTGCATTTGTCATGAAATTTTTGATGAAATTTTGTAATTTTATGAAATGGACTGATTCAAAGGCTATTTATTTAATACCAGACATCGTTCCACTGAGCTGTTCGTCTGTGTCCATTGGTGCTGGAAAAATATGAGAACAAAAAGCTGTTCTTTTTTACCGTCAAAGTGTAGCCTAGTTCACAGAATCTGTCGTGCATAGAACCCATGGGTTGCAGGGAGGGCTCTTTTGTTTTTGGGTGTTTGCAAATGATCCTGTATGCCTTTAATTGCTATTTTTCTGGCAAACAAAAGTTATTCATTTTTGGATGAGGCATCAAACAAACTAAAACCAGCATGTTTAGTTGCAAAACAAAATTGTTAGTACCTGCTTTACATTGACTTACCTCAAATTTGTTTCTGTTGGCATAGACAAACACACCGTAGCCTTCCTTGGCATCCTGATAGAAGGTCCCTGTGAATTGAGAGCTATCTGGCCAGGTGTACATGCCCTGGCCATGCCGGTAATCCTTGAAATACTCTCCTTTGTAACTCTGAAAAGAAAAAAAACCCGGAAACTGATTAAAAACTGGCATAAATTTCTAAAACAATGATGAATTCCATAAGAGTCACATCTGACAAAAGAACTTCTTAAGAAGTATAAATAAATAATTTAAAATGACATCAAACAAGACAAGGCAAGTCTATCGTGAAGCTGGTCCCAAAGCACACACAAACTATCCATTTTGTTTTATCTGGTCAACACAATGGGCCAAATGTTGCCAATTTGTTAGCAATATTGAGTTATCCTACACGATAGCTCAGTCATTTAATGAGCCGGTGAGTCAGTGAGATAGGCTGGTCCACTGAGACCAGCCAAAGAAAGAAAATATTTAATAAAAATTGAAAAGAATGTGAGCAGCCTACCTCTCCATCTCCCCACGTGTGTTCCCCGTAACCGTGCCTCATGTCTCGGACAAAGTGGCCCACGAAGCGTGCCCCATCGGCCCAGGTCTGTTCCCCTTTGCCCTGCCTTCGGTTCTCTGCATACTCCCCCGTGTAGCGGTCCCCGTTCGGCCACAAAAAGGTGCCATGGCCTACCCTCTTCATGCCGTCCAGATGACCACTGAAGGAGGCGCCGCTTTTGTAGTCATGGTGATCGGTGTTGGAGTCTTGCCGTTGAGCCGACTTGAGGCGGGGAAAGACGTAGAACTCCAGCTTGGAAGGCATGGCTCATCCACTGGTACCAATGCTACTTGATTTATGAAATGCTACGTTGTGGCTGTGACTAGTGTGGTGGGAGAAAACGAAAATGATTGCCGAAATATATTGGCGGGTACATCTTCTGAGACATTTTAGATCGAGGCCTATGAACATTTTTATGAATATTTCAAAAGTACACTGTTCGGCCGACCAGCGTTGGAAAAATACAATTTTTCTTGAAAATGTGAGCACACCAGGAGCCACGCCCACGATTTTACAGGATGCTTAATATAATACTAGACTGTCATTCCCTAACAATCCAGTAAGGTATTTCATGATAGCCTAACTTGATCATTTCGTTTTTTGTTGTTTGCAAATGTTGCAACCTGGTATCGTCAGTCCACCTAAAACGACGAGGATCTATTTCGACGCACCCGCATTCAATTTGCGTTGGACATCGCGCGCGCGCGTCGCAAGCGTTTAATTCCTGCACTGATTATGGTGACTCGAGTACACAACCGCTGAAGTGGCGTCAGGTATCCTCGATCGAGGATACCTGACGCCACTTCAGCGGTTGTGTACAAAGTCTATGAGAGTCAAGAAAATGTTCTGTCCCACTCCAAGCTAGATTCATGTCTTATCATCATTTTTGCAATGGCGGGCCTTCATTTAGATGATATATGAAGGAAAAGTGGCGTCAGTTTGCAACAATTTTTTTCTAAAGGAATACTTTTATACCATGTTTAAAGGCCAGCGTGAGGCTTTTTAGACGTTAAATATTATGCGAAAAACACAACATTATTCTACTCACCGGGAGCCGCCATTAGTTTACACATTAACAAATTGGACTGAACGATTATTTACATGGTGATCATTTCTTAACTTACAGCAAACAATGTTTCCAAATTTAGAAGGCCAACATTTACTGATCTTCAAATTTTCCTTTTATAATACACAAATCTGGAATAAAAACAATATTTAGATACTTATTTTACGATATTTCTTGTCAAATTAATTATATATTATTTTGTACCGAAGTCTACACCCCCACGTTTTAAGTGTAGTAACCTCATATGTCGAAGATCGTTTCCATGGACCTCTGCTGCCCTCTTGTGTCGAAATTAAAGGTGACGTGAAAAAAAATGAAAATACAAAAGTACATTGATGGCGATTGATGCTAGCGAATATCACCACAGGCATTTTTTCTTTTCCTATCTCCATGGTTTTACAAACACTGTGAACCTCGTTTCAGAACGTTTTTTCTGAATTAAAGTATCTAAGAGTAACATGGATATAATCAAACCAATGCAAATAAAATAGGGGGGGGGCTGGCTGGCTTGGGACCCTTATAAAATTATTCCCTTTTGTTGCTGTTGGGACTTCTTTCTCCACGTTGAGGGTTGCTTAAGAAATCCCTCCCAGTACAGGTCTTGGCCCTTACAGCTCATTTCCTAGTCTAAGTTTTGTACTTTAGTAAAAGACTTGAGGAAATGAAAATCTGCCACGTTGGAAAAAAATCACTACAGTGTCACAGCAAATTAATTTAGTGCAATATTTCAATTTTGTTTTATTGGTTTTTAGTGTTTGTATTGTCATAAAAAATAAACAGAGAAAACAAAAACAAGTTTTCTTCATATGCATGTACATACATAATTATGATTTGCATATTACAGAATACAGAAAATAACTTTCATATAGTGACTTATAAAACATGCTTTCTACAAGTTGTTGCTCACTAGTCTACACTTGGACGTTCAAGCAAAAAGAAAAAACTATTTTGAGTGATTGAGAATACTTGTCTTTTTTCCTAAAAAACAGGTTCCAACATGGTGTATTGCTATACCTAATACATATTTACGAGCGAGAGCTTAATTTTGATGAATACGTATGACATATAAAACATAGGGCCTATGGTTTATTGTGGGTGGATAGTCAATATCCACTCTCAACCCATGTTATATTTGTATACTATGGACCATTTAATAGTGACACATTTTTCAGCCCACTCGTGCTTCTAATAAACATTTGCTTCATTTAAAATTCAATTTTAACCCCTGGCATTCACAAAAATTCAAATGGAAACAAATTAATTGGCAGCAAATGCACCAGCACTGCTGTCTGTTGTTCCCTTACAAAGACATTTCAGAATGGTTGGTTAAAATAAATCATTAAAATAAAAGCATTGCTGCTTTTAGCTGAATGACAGTTATCTTCATACCAAATATCCTACCCAAAAATTATGTTAAAAAAATAAGAAAATAGTTGAGCTACAAGGGAGTTTCTCTTTATAAACCCAGCCAATAATTTTCTTTGCAATTAAAAATTAAGAATGGGGTGTGCTGCGAATCAAACGGAATTGTAAATTTCAAAATTTGAAAAACCATATATGTAGAAAGCAAATTTTTTTTTTTAAATGACACAGTAAGCCTACAAATAAATAAAATTCTGGATCTTAAAAAGGGAGACTTCTTAACACTTTGATGAAATCAAATAATAAGCTTTGAAATACAATCTCTATCTCTGAAAATCATAAACCCAAATTTGGATGACAACACAGTCATCAAGTCAGGACAAACGTCAGATTAATAAATATACAAGAAAAATGTGTTCGAAAAAAAAAAAAGACAAGAAATGTGCTTCATGCACGTAGAAGTACTGCTTTTAAAAGGAACTGTTTTGCAAAACTCCTTCAGTCAATCACAGAAATATAAGTGAATCCAACTGGCAGAAAGGTGGATAAAAATGTGTTGAACTGATGAAAATTGATTTAAGATGATAAAATGTCCACAATCAAAATTGTTTTTGCTGAACTTGTGCATTGGTTTAAAATGGGGGGAGGGTTTATCCCCCCTTGTTCAGTGACTCCTCCCATAAAGAGAACATCAATTTTGTTTCCATCAAAATTAATAAACTTGTGAAATTTAAAGACAAATTTAAATGATTCTTGCAAAATGTGTGACGGAGGCTCATCTACCAGTCAAAAAAAGAAGAGACATTTGCTGGAGATTATTTTTTTTCAAACAGAAAAGTAGCGAGTGAACTGCATAGATAGTTGTACTGTACACAAAATAGATATACTTTATACATATAAGCACAAGACAAGTTTACATATATGCAGTTTGTTTTTGCATATAGATAGTAAAAAATATAATGGCTACTCGTGAATGAAGATTGTACAGATGATAATACACTTGTGTACACTATATAAACATGAAATTGTGCATGCGATTTTTATTTTTCCAAAATTACATATGAAACAAGATTTCGCATATATATTGCCAAAATAAGAACATTTCAATGTGCAATGAAAAGATTTTGTAAAAAGTAAGCATAAACAATTCTTAATTTTCAGAAACCTTTTGTTTTGCTCTTTCCCATCCTTACAATTTTGTTTTTTTCATTTTTGAATAACAGTTAACAGTACTGCTAAAAAAAGCCAATCTAACTGGTGGGAAATGTACTTCCAATTTGCTTGGCAAATGTTAATGCAAGGAAAAGAATCAGTCGGGTAGCAGTCTAATTCACTGGTAACCTATTTCTGCTAAGCAAATATTTTTTTTAAGCTTAGAAAATTGAGCCCTGATGCAAACAGGGGGATCCTGTTGCAGGCTTTCCATTTCTAAGGTGACTTCCCATTGGAGAGACAGCATGAAGATTAAATAAATAGACCAATCAAGTGGATTCTTACTGTGACGATAAAATTTCAAATTCAGGTTCAACACTGAAGGACTCCAAACAGGGCCGCAAGACGCTTAAGAAGGAAAATAAGAAGCCAAGAAGCCAGCTTGAGACAGAACGAGGCAGCATTTGACTGACACACCGTTTCAAAGGAACAGAACTAGGAATTATAAACTAGCAATAATAATGGTAACATACAAAGGATTCACAAAATCCCCTAGTTACCACATCTTGTCCAATATACTTTCTTTTTTTAAATAACAAATCAATATTTGTTTTGTTCACCAAACAAATTTAGTATTCAAACAGTTTTGAGCAACAGTACACTAACCAAAACTGCCGTCCAAATAGGAGATATGCACAAATAATGAATATTTAACAAGGACAGTTTCAGAACACAGAATAGCATCATTGTGTTTGAAAGTATGAACAAACACTCTTACACGTGGATTACACCACATACATGGCAGAGATATGGATAAATTTACATATAACACACAAAAAGCACAAGTATTTTGATATTTTATGCTTGTAAAAACTGATAACATTTCTTTGGATGGTAACTTTATTGTTACGAAATTGGTGTTTTTGTTTATGCCTTGCCCGTTCTAGAAACTGGCACCCTGCTTTACATATATGCACAGTCTATTAGGTGGGTTACAGAGCACCAGTTTTGAAATATGCATTTTCTACGCTGATCTCTTAATGAATATAAGACTATAAACTATGCTCTAGAACATATAATTGTAGTCTAAAAGAGCCAGGGTAGGGTGTTTTCAAACCCATCCTTGAGTCTGACTTTTCAAATTTTTGACCCAAACGGATTTCATAGCAAGTTTTTAAGAAGAATTGCTGTTGCCACCCAAGTCTTGAACCCAGCCTCGACTACACCACTGAAACACTCTATAAGAGCAACAAATGTGATAGCACCAGCTTAAACATTGAAGCAGTGCGGGTTACAAAAAGTCAACAAATTCAACAGGACATAAAAACGAACAAGCACATAAAAATATAATACAATATAATCATATTTAAAACATGACAATAATTATATAGTTGTTTTGAATTTTGTACAAGGGCTGGTGTGTACAATATCTTACAGGGTACAAAAAAAATTTACAGAGTAATAAAAGAACTTCATCTTCTCGCCGCACTGCTGAGTTTTCCTTTTTAAATTACATAAGCAAGTTTTTTTAACTGTACAGTTTATTTAAATAAATACTGACCACATTTCAGCATTTTTGTCAGGCACTCTGTTTACCCCCCCCCCCCCCCCCCCCCGCCCCCAACTTATGAAGGACAGGCTTCAACAATCTACCTTTCTAAAAATTTATGAGACTTTGCTAAAAGGGATATGTTTCTTTAAGTATAAATGAACATCAATCATAAATCAAAACACAATGAGGTATCTTGTGATTATTTACCCGTTTTTTTAAATGTACACTTTCAACTAATTTCAAAATCAACTTTTTTCAGGCGTTTGATGATTATATAGGTCTATCCTACACAGTGATTTGGATAGTGACTAACCCCTAAATGATACTGCCTAACAAAATGCACAAAATGTCTCACAAAACCCAGTACAATATTTCACTTTATATACACCCCTGCTTTAATTTAAAAGAAAAAAAACCCAGTACTGTCTCTGGTCTGGTGTCTTTATCATCTGAATGCAAGATACAGCAGACAGCAGACTGTCAGTGTCAGTGCCCGACTAATCCTCGAGGCGGCGTGCCACGATGTCGTTCCTGAATGACCAGCACCGATCCCCGTTGGGTTGGTGGGATTGTGAGTTGAGGTTTCGCCGTCGGTCGGTCGTACTGACGCTGGCGCTGTTGGTGAGGACGGCTGGGGATTGTTCTGTATCTTAGGCGTTTTGATATCCTCAATCGCCAAGGCGCCGCCGCTGACGTTTGTCAGTGCCTGGATCTGAACCCGGTACGGTGTGCCTGACTTCAGATGAGCAATGGCATGCCAACTCTTTGTCTGTATCATCCAAGACAATCATGGTGAGAGAAAGAGCGATGGGAGAAAGAAGACAGGAAAATGCTGTTTAGTGCCTTGGTTCACCAAACTTTGCAATAAACTAAATGGTTCAAGGCCACAAATTATTTTAAACTTGTCAGTTTTATTTCATAACTCAATGTCCGCAGTTTTTGGCATTTTAGGTCTCGTCCAAAAGTGACTACCTTAACTTTTGAAATGCTTGAAAACTATCACTTTAACAATTTTTTTTCAAAGTGAGAAGCATTGGAAAAGCAACTTTCACTTAATAAATAAGGATAAATAAACATGACAGGGCTACTTACCGCTGGTAGGATGAGGTGCTCCACCTTGGCCAGTAAGGGGAACCCCTCCCCAAAAAGCCTGTCCTCAATTGTCCTATGCTCCGCCCACATGACCCTGTAGCCAATGACAGGATAGAGGGAGAAACGGGGCGGGTCCCACATGAAGTGGGCGGTGATGTTACTGTGAGATAACATGAACATGTAGGTGACGTTCTCTGGCTGGCTGGGTATGTCTGGCACTGGAGAGATAGAAGGGAACAATGCAACACGTTGTAAATGTCCCTATTTAACAATGGATAATTGATGTATCAATGCTTAATAAGTAAAGACGGTCACGAGCCCATCATGCTGGCATTTATCTGTGTTTTCCCTGGCATGAAAATGACTGAGACTACACGTACTTCTATTCCCCTGGATGGGATGCCAGTCCATCGAGTTACTCCCAAGCTAATGCCGGTACCCATTTACACTCTTGGGTGGAGAGTGCTAGAGGCAACTGGTGAAGTGGCTTGCCCAAGGACACAACATTATGGCCAACGGCTGGATTCGAACCCCTAACCCTCTGATGGTGAGTCACAGACCCTAACCACTAGGCCCCTCTTCCCTATTTGCTTTATAACTCTATGAAACTGGCCCGTAGTGGAAAAGGTAGGTTGATGTCGGGGATAGATGGAAACAACAAAGATGCTCTACTTTTGATCTATTAAAAATAATGAAGATCGGACTGTCAGACTTACGTGGCGTGGGACAGGTGGGTTTCTGCTGATCTTTGACCCTGACATTGTTACACGCCGGAGTATAGAAGCGGATATTTGCTTCGGGGCTCGTCAGGAGACTATCTGAAACAGCTACGACAGACACCCGGTACTGGCAGTCAAACTTCAGGTTGTAGATTTCAAAACTCCGATCCTGTGAAAAAGAAAAAAAAGGACCATTGTGATTATATTTCTCTGGAGATATACAATCTTTTTTTCGGGGGGGGGGGGGGGGGGAGCAGGTTTGAAGTTTAAATATGGACATTTTTGCATGGGTTGTGTAATGCGGCTGTTTTGGCGGGGGAGGGGGGTGGGCATTTTAGTAAAGTGTTTATGAAACATTTAAATGTAATATGATCTTTTCAAAAGCCGATTCCTACTTCATACAAAAGCATTATAAGAAAAGCGAATTACAGGACATCAACTGATACTTCAAAGAGTCGTTCGCCGCAACCTTAACAAATTCAAAGAAATTTGAATCAAGTTTAAACCAGTCCAGAGATTGTCACTAAATGAAATTAAAAGCCCACTTCATGCAGCGGACAAGATTAAAATCGCTGCTTCTTTTATAAGGATTTTTCCTTTTAATCAGGACGAATAAACAAACAGAAAGGTGGAACAACATGAACCATGTGCTCCAATTCTCTTTTTTTAGTCACATTTGGCGAAATATGTTAGAATTGACCATAACTTTTTCAATGATGTTAGTTCCATGCAATATATGTTGCTCATTTACTTGCTGAAAATTTAACAAAACCTCTTGAGTCTGTCATAGCATATTAAAAGCAAATATTGTGGGTTTGTCATAATATTATTTTTAGTAGAATATTGGTATCTTTAATACATGTAGCTTCAATTCGTTCAGGCATGTTACATTTTGGACTTTTTAACATGCAACATTAAATACGCAAATTGTAATGCATTCAATTTAAACACATGCAATAATTGTTACAAAAAGAAAGACTTTGAGAAGCCAAATTTTGAGACCAAAAACTTGCTCACTTTGCAGATTGTTTTCAATTGTTGAGAGTCAATTATAACTGGAAAATTTAAAGAAATAACAAGGTATAAAGGTACCAAAGTAATATGCACGAACATTGTGCAGACCCAAATTATGGAAACGTGCAAATAATACTTCAGATACATGTACATGTACATTGTACGTCAGGTTCCTAAAATGCAAAACAGTGATTATAGCACTAAACACTGAAAGGTGCCAGACTAATTTTGTTGAACCACAACCACTCCTGTGGATCTGTAAATACCGTTGAAAAGACTGGTGCTTTGAAAGTGATTATAGATAACACTGTAATTTGTACATGTGGAGTCTAGGAACATGCTTTTACGCACTGATATGATCCTTCACATTAAGGACGGACAACTTTGCATTGAATGTAGAGACTAATTCAACACTCTGCGCTATCTCTGTACAATCATGGAGGCCCCCTTTAATGGTACAAGCAATGAGCCAACTTCAGTACAACGCAACTAAACCATGACCGTTTATCTGAACAATAACTGTCACAATGCTTCAGCCATTGAAGGGGGCCTCCATCCATGTACAGTGATAATGTGCATAGATTGGTTACCAAGTACAGCATATACAATGGATTAATTGAGTTACTGTATGTTGGTGATCATGACAAATGGTAAATAAGCATTTATAATTCACGCATGCATAGATATAGACACAAAGTCGGAGGTCAGGAAACAAAACCACGAACACAACTTGCAGTTCACGTCAGTACTTCATAGCGTGCAGTTGGGTAAAGACGGGTCAACAGCCATTCATTAGCGAAAAAAGATGTAACTTACATGAGTCGTGGCTCCCATGGCAGGATACCGAGGAAAAATTTCATTGGCCTTTTTGTTTTTAAACCAGAGCGAGCGACAAAAAGACGGAAGGGAATTACAAAACCGTTGAAAATAATGACAATGAGAGAAGAATTGAGTGGTTTGGGGAAAAGAGAAATGAAGATAGAAGTGAAACTGAAATATTGTTGTTTTTTCTTGATCACCGTGATAAGCATTATGCCTACAAAATAAACAAATATCGAGAAAAATCCAATCCTATTCCATTCATACAGAGGTTATACATTACTAATACTTGACATCGCACCATGTTGTTAATTTTTGTGAAATAATTCTGGAGAACTGTCATGAGCCAACACGGCCCATCAGGCCGGCATTTATCTCCAGTTCAAGAGGCATGAAACAACTGAGAATGCATCTATTCCCCTGGATGGGATGAAAGTCCTAACCTCGGTGGTTGAATGATTAAACACGTCTGCACTAGTAAGCAGGCAGTCGTGGGTTGGAGTCCCACCAAAGTAAGCCCCGGATATTGAGTATACAATTTTGTATAAAGTACACCGTTAAAGCCACATTTGAAGTTAAAATCATTGCCTACGGAATGATGTCAGTAAAATTTGTAGTACTTACATGTGTGGTGGCAGTCATTAGTGAACTGTTGATGTAGTCATTAGCACAGCCCATGGGCTGCCAGTGTATTGTGAAACGATTCACAGTTTTCTCAAAACCTGCGCAAACATTTATGAAAAATACAAAAGAATTAGACTCAGCTTGGATTTTTATGTACAAAATGGGTCAAAACACATTGGAAAAAAGGGCTCAAATCAGCAGACACGAGCTGCCAAAATGGCTTCAAAATTTGAAAGAAATTATTTTACTCATGAAAGTGGCTGAAATTGGCACATAATTTATGCCATACAATGTTCCAAATATTCTAGTAACAAAAAAGAAGCTGAAGTCAACTGAGAAAAACGGCCAACACATAAAACCAAACACAGTGCTTGCCCCATCTGAATTACAAATGCAGCTGTAACATTTCTTTTAGACTCAATGTCTCACTCAAAAGTGAATAACTTTAATATCTCTAGAAAAATAGCAACTTTAGAAAAGGAATCTATTTTTCGGGAAGAAACAAATAGCGCGGGGAATACAAGTTTTAAGACTTTTCCCCTTAGACCATTCAGGATGCCTACATTTTGCGCTGGGATTTTGAAAATACCTTTGGGTTTGCGCCAGGAGATTTGGCATTTCAGGCTGCTGTCTTCCCAATACGGCCCGTCTGGCACAACGTCCCTGACCGGACCGGGGAACACGGGGGGCTCCCCGTGGACAGGTGGCTCTGGAGGGACGGGTTCATACATGGGAGGAGCATCATCTGGGAAAAAAAGAAAGAAAGATGCCATTTTGAGGTATTTGTAAAAGCAGATGTTAGTTAATGTACATATTTCTATACCACAAACATTAGTAAGGTTACTTAACTGTACAATTAGGTACCCTCAAGCATTTCACATGGTTGCAAGATTTGTCTACAGTTTGACAGCAATTCTGTAATCCAAGTTATTACAACGATGTCTCTCAATCTAGATCTGTAGCAATGTGTAAATTTACATCAAAAGCCTCAGATTTCAATCTCTTTATACCCCCAAAATTATACATTTTTTGACGAGGCATTGAATAGATTTAGGCCTACCTTGCACAATGGGGAGGTCCATCGTCTGGATGGTGAGAGATGTTCTGTCGCTGCGTTTGCGAGCGTCACCCCACTGCGCAATGGCTTGTACCTGTATGTAGTATCTCATGTTTGGATGTAGCTCCTCTAGAGTAATATCGTACTGATCCTACAACAAAGATTGAAAAAGAACAAAATTAACCCTGATCCCCTTAGCCTTTTTGGCTGGGATGCATCCTCCATCCTTCCAGTTGGATTGGCTCAGTGGTTCTTTCCTCGCCTTCCACCGCTCTGGCCCAGGTTTGATTCCTACCCTGGTCCACATGTGGACTTGGTTTTCAGTTCCTACCTGATTCCTTGGGTTTTTCCAGAAATATTCCTCTGGGGTTTTCCTCCCACGTCTAAAACTGTAATTTCTTCTCATTGTCTTCTCTTTACAGGTTTCTTAGAGCCTAGGGTCTCTGGGACCAGCAAAGATAAAATCAACCTACCCCCGGCACGTTGTGGCTCTTCTCCTCGATCCGAACGTGGAATGGGAGGGCTCTGCTGGGCCTGATGCTGTAGAAGACCCTGTATCTGGTGATTTGGAGGTCGCTGGTCTTGGGGGGATCCCACAGGATTCTCAGGTTGATCCGGTTGTCGACACCAGTAGCCTCGCCCTCGCGGAGATTGAGAGGTGCACTTGGTGCTTCAGGTGCTGGGAAACAACAACAAACAAAAAAAGAGGGAAAAAAATTTGCAACCAGAGTAAATGAAAGTTCTTTCATGTATTAAATCATAATGTCATGTGTTCTTGCTAGAATGTGCTTCTTGTTAATATACAAATAATAACCGTTTATGAGTGCAATGGTAAGAATAATTTCACACGGTGACAGTTGGAATGATCCATTCCTGTCACTGAATGAAATCATTCTTTCCACTGCATGTATGTGAAATATTCATTTTTGTTTTTCATAAACCCTCGTCATCTGACTGGTCAGAGCCACCAATTGTGTGCAACTTCACTTAAATTTACTGTGGAATAGAAATGCTATTTTTGCGGTGCAGATGCTGCTCAAGCTAATTGTTTTGTTCAATTTTATAGACACTTTCTCTTGAAAAAAAAATGGATCAATTTTTTCTTTTTTGGTTTTATCTGTTTGCTTTGATTTCTAATTGTAATCCGTTTTAAGCATTTCAAGAAATGACCAAGTTCTAAAGCCAAACACACGTTATGAATCAGAAATGTTGACATATTTATGAATAGATTAATTTGAGTCGAGTGGTAAGACATCTGCACTAGAAAGCAGGAGGTCGTGGGTTCGAGTCCCACCCGAGTGATTTTTTCCAACTTTCACTTGGAAGGTAACACACTGAGTACACAGTGTTTATACGTCGGTGAAGGGCAAAACCTAATTTGATTTGAATAAATTAATATAAATAAATAAAAGTTATTAAAACAAATAAAAGTTGATTCAAAACACTACTAGGAACTCACATCTGCTTAACCTGAATGGCAGCGTGGGTTTGCAGAAGCCCAGTGAGCCATTTTCGTTGACCGCGGCAACCTGTATCCTGTAGTATGTTCCTACATTTAGTTCCGTCACATATTCCATCTGATCGGTCTGTAAATGGAATAAAATGAACAATTCAATTACAGAAAATATTATCATTTTTGGAGAATGAATAAACCAGTTGCCAATCTCACATTGAGGGGCATACATGCATGTATTCAGGGGACATCAATTGTAAAATCTATTTCAAAATTGGAATAAAAATATTTGGGGGGGGGGGGTGATATAAGAAGAAAAAATGTGAATGTTATCAATTTCAAAGACCCAATTTATGAATATAGTTCTTTAAATAAAACAAACTTAAAGCGGGACTTGTTTTAATTCTTCCTTTTCCATTTTTTCTCTCACCTTTTCACCTGTTTGTTTCTGTATGTCTCATCTTTTCCTGTCCCAAATCCAAAAGATGTTTAAAAATTTGTCTTAGAATGTGATCAATTGCATACGATGCAGGGATGCAGCAAAGCATTGAGGAGGCACATGTGTTGTCACCCACATGTGGGCGGAGCCTATTGGATCGATCTATTAGCACTGAATGAATTTGACAGGGAAATAGGAGGGGGCACAGGCTCAAAGGTCAACATACAATTGAGAGGTCCTTCCAGTCGCCCATCCTGCTTGTGCTCGGGTGGTGGCCTGTGTTGTTCCGCCCTTGGATGACGTAGAGAACCACGCCCTCCAAGTCTGGACTATTGCCCCTCAGCTCCCAGTGAATCGTTACTGACTGGCCATTGGCATCCTCCGTGATCGTTGGGGAATTTCTTGGCTTGGGTGGGAGCTCTATACACAAAAAGGGAAAGTGGGCAAGTGTTAACTCAATAGCACTTGTTTTACATTGTATTACATTGTATTAAATTGTATAAAACTGTATCAACTTTTTTCTACTAAGGAATCCATAACACCCAAGTGCTGGGCAGTTTAGGGAAGTATGGGGAATAACAGGCAGAGTGGTTTGGGGGCGGTACAAGGTCTCATGGGTTCAAACAAACAAAAACTGAGAAACGGAAACTAAATTTGAGACTTGAAAAAAAAATCTGATTAAAAGCAACTGCATGTAGCATGGTTGATAACATTGAATAAAAAACATTAAAAATTCATCTGCATCGGAAATGTTTTAATCTTCAAACTCAAGAACTGCTTTGAAGAGGGAACTGTTTTATTTTCAAAACAATGTAAGATTTTATTGTTAATATGAAGGAATTATTTTGAAAATTCAGTCATGAAAACACAACAGTATCCCACCGTTGGGGTTATAATGATTTTTAATCTACTCTTATCTTATTTTAATGCACTCTGTTGAGTATATGGTCAAATAGTCAAATAGACCAAACTTTCTGAGGATGTTTTTTTTTATAACAGTTGTTAGTTATGACTGCAACCTTTACCAAAACACTCAGATAACTAGATTCTGGTTTTGCGATTGTCTGCAGGGTGGGGTCTGTAAAATGGGTCATGACCTAACACAACAGACCTCATCTTAGCTCGTGCAAAGATGCAATGGGCTTGTGCACACCATAGATATGGTGTACACTCAAAAATTAGCTCAGAATGACTACTTCTTGCCATACATGTGCATACTGGTACCACTGCGCACATGTTGTGAGTCTCCCTACCAGAACTTTTGAAAGTAGTAAAAAAGTCATGTTACTCTTTGTGCATAGCTTCACTCTACCAAAATCCTGGTTGATTTTAGAGGATTGAGGAGAGTTAAGGTTGAATATTCCTTACCACTTTTATCGATGACAGGTGTTTGGCAGGTGTGGCCACAGCCATTGTAGCAGCACTTCTCCTGGCCATTGCACTGCGAGTCATTGGAACACGTCTCTGCGCAGGCCTTGCCGAAGCCCGTGATGTCTTCTGGCGTCGGGCAACTGCCGGGCTTCTGGCTGTGGCTGAGTTTCAAGAACTCGCACGTGTTGTGGCACCACGATAACTCTGTCGCCGTCTGAGTTTGAAATAAGAGAACGTGGATTTAGATGTAGACAGCAAATGTCTACCTGTGTAGAGCCTCTCCACCCGGGGCACTGTAATGACGCCATTTGGGGGAACAACTACATGTGTATCCATGGTTACTGACATGAGTTTACATGTCGCTACAATACAAAACTTACATCCTTACAATGTTACATTTGTCGATTTCAGTGAAGTTAATACTAAGCTTCTTCAATGGACAGGATTTTGCTAGTGTTTTTATTGAGAAAATGACACTGGTACAGCACTGTCATTCACTCAAAAGATGATAAAAGTAAGGTTTTTAATCTTTTCTAGTGGTTTCTAAATTTCATGTACATTTGGATGTATACGTACATGTACGTCTTGATACATTTTTTTAGTTAAGTGTAGTTGAGCATGTTGGGAATGTTAGTCCAAATATTTGGTAAAATTTGGTAATTATTACAAATCGCTCATTTTGTTTTTACTTTACCTATTAAAATGTTTTACTTACCTGACATTTCGCTTTGCATAGTGATAACGTTTTATATTCTGTTGAACAGGGAATTACACACTGCAAAAAAAAGAAACATAGAAAAGAAACAAAAATAAAATTTGAAATTTACAAAAGACAATTCTGGGAAAATTAGATACATACTGCTACTTCAAGTTTTACAAGCAAATAAATAACATAAAAAAAGTATTCGAAAATTGTCGTTCTTAACTCTGTGCCCAACTGACTTTCCAACGGCAATTCAAACTGCTTTTTTTACCTGCATCTTAAAATATTATAGGCCCATGTACAGAGGTTGTTTACAACTTCGGTCTGTTCCTGAAGAGGTTGTTGAACTCTTAACATATATCTCAAGGGACTTTCAAACAGAAGGACACACAGGGCAAAAAGATTCGGCCATTCAGAACCATAATTGTTTCATCTTCCCCTCCACTGCACAAGTGTCTTCCCCAAATCCACAAATAACGTCTTGGTAACCGGGGCTACTGTTCAAGAATCTTGTGAGCGGGGCAGAAAAAATCCAAGCAATAGTTGCGTGTACGCCTCATCGCCAGTTTGCAAAAGAGCCGTTAGAGGGACGTTTCTCCGAACTATCGCTTGGCCGGCGAGTCCTTCCCCTTATTGCAAAAGAGTAGATTTTACGCAACAACAGGCACGACCCGTCCCCTCTATTGTGGCACAGGCTGCCGCAAATCAACCCAGGGTGAGAAATGGGGGTAGCTTGGGCAGTGGGGGAGCCCACAGCAGGTGTCAATCACATCAAGTTTTTTTCCTTGTTTTTTTTCTTTTCTTTTTCGTTTTGTTCCTTTTCGTGACAGAGCGACTCAAAAGTGACAACTTGAATCGCTAGGTTCTCTATTTCATGGTGATGGGCTTCGCGGCAGGCAACAATGGCTTGAACCTTGACATGAAATGTTCACCTTCTTGTTCCTCTTCTTCTATTACAGAGTTTTTTAAGAGTTCAGTGAATAAACATGCAATGTAACTGTTCAAATCAATACATAAAAATCCATCATCTGGTAATGGTCAAGGAGATTACAGACTATAAGTTTTGGATCTTTCTCTGAATTGTTAATTAGAAGGTGGGGGATTTCTGTGATATCCAAAATTGTTCACTTTGTTTTCTGGAATTTTGCAAGAAGTTGACAAATTCATTATAGACACACCTGGCTGTAATACTTTATGTGTAAACTACATACCACATGTATAACAATGTCTATACATGATGTATACAATGTAATACAATGTATAGAGCATACATGTACTTTCCCCCATGATTCCCATACTACTACATTGGGAAACAGATCATCATAAAAGTTTGGCTACAATGGGTTTGCCACAGCCTTTTCCGTCACCTCATCATGCGAGTCCAATTAAGGTGTGAGCCCCTGCTTTTATGGCGCTCACAAACTGGCCAGTACAGGATTCATCACAGATGGAAGAAAGCGCGAGGGGGAAATTGGCATTTCAATAAAATGAAGAAAAAAAGACTGCTTTTCTTTGGTTGTTAGCCCCTGGCTCTCAGTGCAAAGAAAAAAAGAAAGAGGGCAAGTGAACAAACAGCTCACCGAGAGTTGCACAGATTGCGGTTGCACGAGAATAATGGCCGCGTCTGTAACCATTATCGTCTGGTATTGTCAGACTCGGTGACATGGGGAGCCGTGACCTCAGGTTTTTCACTTTTCTTTTCTCCTCCATGTTTTTTTTTCCTTTCTGTTCTTTCTTTCTTTTTGTAACAACTGTAACAATCTTTTAAAACGTGGACTTTTAAGCACTGCGGTTTTTCATATAACTTGACAGTGTCGTGTTGGTTGCTCATTTTGGACTTGCGATAATTACGTGTACAGTTTTATAAGTTTTGACAACATTTCAACAGACAGAATTTGAAAATCGAGTAAAAATGAATTTGAATTCAAAACTATAAAAAAGGATAAAACATGGTTCTTCTACTTTCACCAATTTAAAAAGTTCTTGTGGGATTGAATTCTCCAACTTTTCATTTCTTTCTTCTTTCAATGGAGTATCATTTCTAGTTTGTCTGTGATGAGAAGGAATTTTTAATTGCCAAAAGACAAACCAAATCTAAACATAAAAAGACATGTAAGTTGAATTCAAACGGTTTACAAAATGTACACTGTCACAACTAGAACACATAAACAGTCCGTTTACAAACATAAAAACTGATGTTGATGAATAATGATATTCCTGCAGTTGTATATGTTCTGAAACTTGTCAGTTTTCAAATTTTGGTAAACGTTTTTGTCATTTTGCCCACAGACCACTCCTTTCTGCCATTCACAAAACAGCTTTACACAAGAATCACTAAATACACACAAGTTGGGGACCAGTACTAGCCAAAAATGGTCACCAAGAATAAATCCATTCTCAAGGGCCCGGATACGCTGTAGGGATCATAAACAAAACTCGGTAATCTGGAAAAACAACAAAGTGGATTGATCCCACAATGCATTGTATAGTCTGCTCCCTTGCCAGCACAACACGTGGTTGATGACCATGTGACGCAGGGCACCATGATTTAAGGGGTTTTTTCCCAAGATAAAAAGAAAGCTGTGGTTACGGCTAGAGTACCTGATCTTCAAAATGTGTGTGTAGTTACTGTAGTCCTATTCCTTTAATGCTACAAAATTCTGCAAAATATGAAGCATGCATTTTTTTAGCCTATCAATGTCTAGCAGACAATTTCACGAAACTTCATGCAATGGCATAGCCCCACTTCGCCACATTTAATTGCGTAAGTTGCGCAACATTGCATGTCGCACAACTGCCTGACTTTACATGTATACGAGGAATATTTTGCCATACTGCCCCTTTAATGCCAAAGAACCACAAAGTTCTGTCCTTCCTGTATCTTTTTGGCAGCGTCCAATTCTCTTTTCTAGTTGTTAGTGTTTCCGTTCCTTTCTGCTTCAGTGCACCAGGCCTGGGTGACTGACTGAATGAAGGCATAGCGGACGGGTAATGAGGCGAGACCGTTTGGAACAAAAGCTTCAAAGATATTGTCCCCTGCATGTTATTTACAGAATAAGGCCTGTTTAGATAAAATGAGAAAACTGTAGAATTATTATGTTGCATCTTAATCTGAATACATGTACAGGGACATGTACAGCCAACATCTCAACATCTACATGAACACACATGCACATGTACATGTACATGTAGATATACATACATTGTACATGTACTTGTACACGTACATAGTCTAATGTCAGTGACTAGAAAAACAACCGAAGTAATCTAATCCTACATGTACATGCTATACATGTACATGCACCTGTTAAAAAACTAACGGTTCAAGTCACTGGTGATTTAAAAACTTCCCATCACCCCACCCTACTCAGAGATTGCACAGCACCTGCAAGCGCTTCCGAGAGTGGACTAAGGGAGAGTTTTGGTCGCCCTTAGCTCCCGGCTATTTGCCGAGCGTATTAGAGGCTCTATGTGTCCCCAAATCCCTTCCCTGGATCTTTTCTTTTTTCTTTCCTCATCTTCGTTTTTCTATCTCATCTCGTGGCTGGGCTGTAAGCTCCTTTTCTTTGGTTGGCCTCTGCCAATTCAAGAGGCTCATAACAGCACAGAGAAATTGTGCTTGTTTCTCTTGATAGAGGGCTTTCGGCTTGCACGTATATGTACATATGTACCGTAGAGTGGTGTTTGGTGAAGAACACTGACTGCCCATTATATAGTTTAAAAGGAAAATTACCAGTAAAGGCAAATTGGTTTTACAAAATTAGTTAACACGTCATGCAACACTGTAACAGTTTCTATGAATAAACCGGTACTTGTATGAGGTTTTAAGAGGTTAACTTTGATAATTTGGAAGTTAATTGTCATAGTCTGGTTACACATCTGTAGATATCGAGCATAAAATGGACCCAAACAAACAGGATTTAATAGAAGAAATGACCTGAGGCTTCATTTAACATTTCAGCAAGTAAGTTCCGACAATCGTTCAAAACAGACACCTTCACAGCACCAAATTCCAGTTGATGTATGAAGGTCAACTCAACCCAACAGGCACAGGAAACAAAACTTTAAACTCAAGTGGCCAGAACTAATCCTCTTGTTCATGTTGGCCATGAAAAAAAGATAGAGAGACAGTTAGAGTCAGAAAGAGAGGAAAAAAGAGAAAAAGTAAGTGAATGAAATCCTTAGCAAGGGCTTAAACACGACACTGGACCAGTGTTGAACATGCACGATGCACACAACAGTGGCACGGACTGAGGTCTTCTTTTGGGAGAGCCGATTTAGAATTACACGCTACCCAGAAAAGAGGACTAGGGTAGGGGACAAAATAGGGGCCTAGCACTCCCAATGACTACCTCTTCATTGGCGCATTCATGTCTCTAATCCCAGGACTTAGGGATCAAAGAAACTCCTCTTTCTAGGGACCATTGTTCCCCTGGAAAACTGCATCAGCCACACACAAAAAGAGAAAACCGCTTTTTTATAACAGTTGCTTTACACTGGTTCTAGCAGCTGCATTCTATTACCAGTGTGAAAGGGTTTTTTGGCACAGAAGAGGGGTGTTCAGGGTATAGAGAATGGTGTTATTATTTTCATTTGGGTGTGGGATAGTACTACACGTGTACATGCACACACCACTTTTTTAAAATTGTTAATGAGGAGTATCAATGTCATTCAAGTACATAGTTGCATACTACATGCATGTACATGTATACAATTTGTATACAAGTGGTTTGCAATTTGAAAGGTTGAATTTGTAATAATGCATCCATCAACATCTTCTTCAGTACAATCTGGAATATTTGCAAGTCTAACATTTTGATGGGATCAAACTCTGCAAACCGAAAATGAAAAAAAGTCAGAATTTTAAGTGTCATGATATTACACTTTTTTTTTTAAAGGACCTTTCATGACAAACGAACAAGGAATTAGAAAGGATTAAAGAACTGATTATTAAAAAAAAACGAAAAGAAAAAAGACAGGTACCTGCCCAGGTAGATGAGGAGATTAGTGTAATAATTGTTAGAAATAAAGACAGGGGTTTAAATGGCCAGATTAGGGTTCACTAATTCAGGTGGATTATCTTGTCAGGATTAATGAGAGTGGATTAAGTGCTTGGGAACCAGCCAGCAGGACAAGTGGGGTATTTTTTTTAAATCTCATTGTCTGTGTTGTTTAACAAAGTAAAACTGGTGATGGTAGGTTTTTTTTTCAACAACTACCGGTACATGTAGTAAGGCTTGGGAACAATTGTCAAAACCTTGCTGGATTTACTTTTTTCAAATGGTGTTAAGAAGATTTTTGGTTTTTCATTTATGGTTGGGATCCTAGCCATTTTTGCTTTTTAATGCGACATCCTTTTCTATGATAAATATCTTAGCAACAGTGGAAAATAAATACATGTTAACAAATAATAACAAATAAATGAAAAAAATAATGAACTGAGTTACAACAAGCAGAGACATGTACATGTACAAATCTAGAAAAAGTCAACTGATTTTGCCAACATGTTCTGTAAAATGGCAAAATTTGGCTCATTTCATGGAGCAAATTTGTATTTCGTATTTTTTTCCCAAATTTTTCTTGCCAAAATTGGAAAAAATACATACATGTACATGTATGTAAATGATCGTAAAATACTTTGATGGTAATCTCTCCTCTTTTTTTAAAAAGAAATTCAACAAATACAGACACATTTTTTTCTATATGTCCAACACAATGCACATAAAAATTGGGTCAGAAAAGCCACCGAGACACAGATTATCTGAAAATTCTGCCAGAATCCTATCTCTGAAACGGAACTTGATAACGGGAGAACTCTTGACAATGGTGAGGGGGAGCAGAGGTTATCACCTGCATGGTGGAAGCTGTCTGAGGGAACTGGCCTCAGGCTGGGCTAAGTGCCCCGGCACAGCTCAAAAACTTTGTTCTGCACAAAAATTGTTGACTTATGTCACAAAACTGTTGACAAAATGTGACAAATGGCAGATAAATGGCACCCAGACAGCTGCATGACATTTATGCATGACATCTACATGTACATGTACATGAAAAAAAAAGTTGTTTAACTAAATATAATTAACTTGGTAACTTTTCAGGGATGGAGAGGATATATTCCATTTTTTGATTCAAATTTGGCTGTGGCTGGATTTGAAACACAGTAAGAGGTGCAAGGGGAAGAAAGCACTAGTGTGAGAACACATTGGGTAGGACATCCATCTGACGTTTCCGACCACTTTCCAAATCTGTCCTGAAAAATTGGATGTGCTCGGTACATTTTGTTTTCTTTTAACAAATCTGAATGTGACAGCTCACAATTAATTGTACAAATGTACTGGTACCGGTAGTTTGTTCTGACTATACACTTTTGTAAAATGCTTTTTGTATGTAATTGCAGCCTCTGGGAACTTGTATATATGTGTACAATGAATATTTATCAGAACACTGCACGGTAGGTACATTTATCAGGCATGCAACTGGGAATTTAGAAAAAACTAGGAAACTCCAAACCACATAAGACTTTGTATAGTGTTTTTCAATTTGTAATGGTTTTCATGACAAGTAAAAAACGAGGAAATCAGCGGATTGGGGGAAAAGTTGCATGCCTGATTTATGTGTAGATTATGTACATATCCAGCCCATTGTATTTTTTTTAAAGTTTGAAATGACCTGCCGAAAACAAATTATGCATTATCCATTATTTTGACCAGCCCATTTTATATATACACTGCCTACTGTCAACATGTATGAAAGCTATTTGTTAACTAGGTACATCTACCATGTGCGTGTACTTCTTCCAAATCCCCCAAGAAACCACATTCTACTGAGATCAATTGCGCACATAAGAAAGGGAAAGGAATATCATTCAAATTGAGTAAGGCTGGTCTGGTGAATGCACTCTTGTTTTAATCTGTATTCCAGGCACAATATTGCAACAATGCATGTCATGTTCATGTACCGTAAGCGTACACATGTCAGACGTTTGCCAGACATTTGGATATTTGCAATCAATGCTGGATTGGTCAAAACATGAGGTGTGGTTTAATAATGGGTAGGTCTTTCACATCTTTTCATGACATTGATAGATCAGTGTGAGGACTATGGCACACTGTTCATGTACTTTTTTCAATGGAACAGAACATATTCAGCTTCATTATTCATGTGCGTATTTTTTTGGAAGAAACTTTGGTCGAACAATGTCGGTTTTTTTTATAGCCATCCTCTCTCTTTACTATAAAAAGAACCCATAAATCAGTCAGAAGCAATCTTGTGACGTGTGGGACTGTGTCACCATTGTTAAACCCTACAATCGCCCTTCTTGTACTATGGCAACGCGTGCCTGCAGAAAACAGGCTGCGGATAATGGGTAAACAAAATTACGAATTGTCAGAATAAATAGCGATTTTACGGATTGTCCCAATTCGACCACAGTTATTATAGCCTATTTTTTTGGAAAGCAGCATAAGATAAACTGGCTATTTTAAACTAACTTGCACTTTTTGTGTAACTACTGGGTATGGATTTTTTTTTATATTTTTTATATTTTTTTGGGGGGGGGGGGGGGTTGGACATCTTTGCATGTATTACAGGATTTGAAAGGATCCGCCGCACTTGAGAAAAGGACAGGGGCACCTCTTGAGTTCCCGTGCTGTCAATCATGTTTTGTCCACTTTTGTATATTATAAGGACTTTCTTTCCAAAACACGATAAACTCCACATTGTTACCGTCTAGAGTGCGCCCTCTTCTGGCTGCCATAAGTCAGTTTCAATGGCTATTCATTTAGTTAGCCATATATTAAGAATATAATAAAGAGAAAAATGTAGTTTAGAAACAGCTGTTTTACAGCTATTAAAGTCTGCATAACCGCGCAACTTCCTCACTTTTTAAAATAAATATATCACGTTTTGGAAATTATTCTCTTCATAAGGTTCTTCAGTTTATGAAGTTGCGACAAACCCTAAGATGTGTACAGTATGCCGGTACACGTACACGTACATGATGTAAATATACAATGAAACCTTCATGGAATTAGAGTGATTGAGAGTTTTTCTATGCAATTTGACTTGAGTATGATTGGAGTACAAGACCCATCTCCAATCCTTCCACCTGAAAGTGGCAAACAAAGTTTGCAATAAAAACCAGCAGCAATGTGACTGTGTCACGGCCACAAATTTCTTCGAAGAGGACCCTTTCAGAAGTCACTGAAAAGACAATCAACATCCTTGTTTTAGTTTTCTGAGAATCCTGCTGAGTCACACTGTACATTTGTATATATAGTGGATGCCTCCTGCTAAGGATTTGTCCAATTAGTGGGAAGATTTGGTTTGAGAACTTACTCTTAAAATGAAAATTGAGTCCCTGAGAAAAGGAGCTATGTGGAGGAAGCATATTTTGGGTGGCCAGATCTTAAAACTGTTTCTGAAACCAATGCTTGTCTTGGGCTTCAATGTCTCAAACTCCACTGCCAAACAATACGCCTGAAGCTGTTTGAAACATGGCTTTGAAGACAAGTAATGCACATAATAGTCACAAACAAGCATCAAGAAGCAAATAAAAACTTCTTTTTTTTCAGAGGTTTACCGTCGCCCAAAACAGATGTAAAAGCAATTTGTTTGTTAAAATAAAACATTCAAAAGTCAAAATTTGTTTGAGGGGGAAAAGTGAATTTGCAGTGATGAGACTTCTGTATGGGCCCAAGAATTTAAAGGTCTTTGGCCATGTGCCAAAGTTCTGTTCATCTGTACAGATAACTGCTGTTTTGCGTGCGGGGAGCCACTGAAAAGGCCATCATCCTTAACGCTGTTTATTGACAGCAGATGGCTGATGTTTGTTTTAACAGCCCTACCCTTCTAGAGTTGGAATGGCGGTCTTTCAAGGAAATCAGGCAAAGGCGAAAAGAAAGTCTAGATTTATTAGAAAAATCCTGGGAAACAGCCCTAGGGTATCCATTGACCTTTTTGGGAATGCTTTTAGATTGCAAGAATGTTTTCATGACGTCCTTTTTTTGTAATCATTTCGCTGTGGACATAAGGGTGGAAACTCTTTGAGGCACCGACATGCCTTTGTCTATTTTTCCATGTGAATCGTTTACTCCTTTCAATAGAACCTTTGGGCCACCCACTAGAATGACTTGGTGATAACAGTAGGCCTAATAAAAACTAACAATTGTTTTGGTTCAATAAGAATGTAATTCAAGTGTAATGGAATATAATGTCCGTAACAGAGCAAATTAACCATTATATTTATGATTCAAGTAATATCCTTGACCATTATAGTTATACTAGGGGATGGATGAGACTTGTAAAATACATTTTTAAGTTTATTTACAGAGCTCTTTAAAGTTAGAAAAATATGTTTGATTTGTAATGTTCGTGATGCTGGAATTACCTAACATGCAACATCAAAAGGAAAAATTTGAGCTGAACATGCGTTCTAAAGAAGTAAAAAATACATCAACCTATGCTGTAAAAGTAAATTACACACCCTTTCGATTACACAAAAATACATGTTACATCTATGTACATTCAACTTTTAATGGCAAAAGCATATGTACATACTTACCGAAGAACAATTTGTAGAATTAGAACATGATATCCTATATGACTCTCCTCTTGATATCTGAAAGAGAAAAAAAATCAAGAAATACAGTGATAAGTTAATTGCAAATTCGAAAATAATTATACTTGATGAATGTATCCATGTTTAACAATTGAGTTTAAGGAAAACGTCATTAGAAATTCAAATACTGGTACATGTACTGGTACCACAGTAAATGTTACATGCACCGGTAGTTTCGCTTTACAATACACTATCTTCTACATTGCCTTTTTTTCCCCTCCTTTTTCTGATCTACATACATACATGTAAACGTACATGTGGACAATTTCACGTTTTACATTTATTTTTTTCATCTTTGAAGTTTGAATTTGAAAAAAAAATTATAGGCTAAAGTATGAACAGTGACATAGTACATTAATACAAATTTCCCTCAAGAAATCAACGGGAAAGCTGATGTCAGTATACCAAAGGGGCATATTACAAAGTGTGTTTATCAAATACTTCAAGTCAACCACATCTTGTTCTCCTTCGTTTCTCAGAATTCATTAACCGCAGCCTTGACGGACACTTCTCATTAACTGTAAGCGCTACAGAAAATGCATACATGTACGTGTAGTTCTTGACTGTATCTTCTTTGCTGACTTCTACTACATGTACACAAGATATCTTCAACTGGTACAAGTTTATTAATATTGATGAAGCCCCCCCCCCCCCCTTGTATCTTGTCAATGGGGTTGTATTTCAGACCTGTACTTTGTTCCCCCCAGGAATCCCCTAGAACTAGTGCCAGCTGTATATAGAGTGTACACTGTGTATGTACAATGTATAGTGTACAAAATGTATCACTTGGTAATCTTGATACATGTACCAGTATGTAATGATACACATGTATGCATGTATGGGTCATTTTATAAATGTTGGGTCCACTTTTTCCTTTCCCTGCGACATGATACAGGTCTATGATTTTATAATTCTGATGCACTTGCAGTCGTCCTCCAAGAGTGATTATGAATAGCACATTAAACTCACCCAACAAATACAAAAAAAATGTTTCAAGTCATTCTTAACGCACCTACAAAGTACAAAGGTAAAATTTACTAAAAACAGGACAGCAAAACTGTCACACATTGGACCCTAAATTTATAGAAATTGACCTGTATTCAGATGCTACCAAAACTTATAGGGCAACAAATTAAAAACATACCAGTAATTGTACTGATACATGTAGTTCGTATAATTGGAAAACTAGACCCAAAAACAATTTGGTTGGAGAAACAACTTGCAGCTGCTGCCCTGCTGCTCATACAAAGAGGTTACTTTTTGAGGCTTCACCTTGAAATGTTCCACCCAAACTGAGCGAGCAATCCTGTAATGTGCAACAACCCCCTGACACAAAATCGCAACAGGAGAGAACATTAACTCTAACGGTCCAACACCCCTATAAGAGGCAGTATCATTAATAATGAAAAAAGAAAAAAAAACCTTCAGCCTTTTAACAACAAACCGACTTAAGCAGACTTCAAAATGCCATCACTTCTCCCCCTTGTAAAAAAAAAAAAAGTAAAGAAAGTAAAAGAGGAAAAAAAGAAGTAGCGTATATCTGCTACCGAGGCCGTCACAAAGAATCATCCTAATGCCCACAAAAGCCGGATTTGGATTTGGGTCCTTTCCTCTCTATCCCAAGGTGAGTACAGCGGATTTAAGAGATGGGACAAAAGCCACAAGCGAACCCTAAGCAGTCCAAGAAGAGGTTGACGAGAGAGAAAGAAGGGGACCTCTTTTCAGAATTGAGACACCCCTTGTAACCCTGTTTCTAAAAGAGATCTGTTAAGCTGTGTAAAGTATGAAACTTAACAGGGACCACGGAATCAGAAAAGGAGTCTGCAAAGCCGCTTAAAAATTACATGTCCGCAGCAAGAAGAAGGGAAGGGAAAAATGTCAAATGAAAAGAACTTGTGGTCAGTTATTTACTGGAGCGACACATTCCAGGAGATTTTGCTCATAAATCCGGTTCCCTTATATATCCGTTTGGTAGAAATCCAGCATACATTGTACATACATTACATGCAAGTGTGTTAAAGATGACATAAACGTAGCTGAGACTACAAATCAAATTTGACGTCATCGTGCAGTGAATGTTTCATGACCTGAAATATTTCATAACCTGAAACGTTCGCTGAAAAATTCTCCGGGGGTTGAAATGTGTTCAATTTTTTCAAATTCGTAGCGTGAAAATTTGCCATAATGTCAAAAATTCATGTTCACGTTCGCTTCCAAGCCGAGTGTGAACCAGCTCTTATCTTACATGAAGTATGTACATGATGCACACTTATTTATGAGATGTACAAAATGTAGACGGCAAATGATTGTGTTCATTCATTTATATGTGATTAGTCAGTTTTTAGATTCATGTATTTACAAGTACAAGTTCCTGTAGGAGCCCATTATCCCAATTCAACTAAGTTTCTTACATTGTACATCATTACACATGTACATTCACATGGTTAGTCAACATTTCATATTAGGGGCTCCAAAAATCCTGTGACTATACCGGTAGTCTGTACTTATAGCAATTGTTTGGGAACACTGAAAATGAAGGGGGAAAAATGGTATAAAATCTAGACATGGGCATTCATCTCCAGAGTGATGTATTACATGACAAGCCCAACAATACCTGGCCAAAAAAAAATGGCAGCACAGGTGTAAATCAATTATTCTATTAATGGTTCACTCTGGTCGTTTCTCAAAAGTGGCTCCCGGCCACAAAAGCAGCTAAACCTGGTGCAACAAGTATGAGTTTTGAAAAGGGACGACAAAAGGCAACCTGGGACAAAAGTGTGGAGGAAAAGCAGCGGCCTCCAGGCTGGCATGGCAGCCCAACTCGTCCTGAAGTCCTTTTCCTGTCATATTTTATAACAAATAAAACTGGGGGAAAAATCTTAAACAAAACCTGGGGAAAAAAATGTTTACAAAAACTATGGCATTTTGTGGAGAAATAGAAGAAAAAATTCCAAACACAAAAATAAGGATTTAAAGATATTGGTCGGAAAAGCCAAAAGTGGGTGGAAAAAATCCGGACCTTAGGAACAGTGGAACCTGACATTTATTCTCTAGAAAAAGTTCCCAAAGAAATAAAAGTAAAATGAAGTAAAAAAAAAAAAGGCGCAAGAAAAACTGAACTGACTACGTGTGCTGTAAACCGCCGGTGGCTAATTACGAACCAAAAAAAAAAGAAAAAGAAAGAGAGCGAAAGAAAGAGAGAGGTTGAGTTCAATGGCTTTGAACCTGGCACAGGATGAAAGATTTTGCCGTTTCACCATCGGAGAAGGAACAATAATCCCAGTGTTGGGGAGTGCAAAACGCTGGGCTCTACACTAGGCCGGGCCCCATAAAGCTCACAGGCATTCAAAGCTTAAAAGCTAGTGTTACAGATTCCCCGGTCTCCTGCCTCTGGGCCCGCCAGTTTTTTTCCATCCTCCCCCATAAATCTTTTGGAACTTGCACTCTGGTTGCAGTTTATAAGGGATTGCACAAAAAAGTTGGATTTTTTTCTCACGAGTGTGCAAAATGTAGGAATAAAGTCTACACAAGAGGTTTTACAGATGGGTGGCCTCTTTAAAAAGGAAAAATAAAGAAGAACTGAGTTCTAATAGTCAAGTGTGGATTGAGGTAAAAATGTTGTACGGCCATGTATACGGTTGCAAGACCATTGCAAGAAGCATCCACATTCACAAGTCAGACTTTTTTCCTTCAGAGCTTTTTTTCATGTCTAAAGGTACACCAATAGGATCACTTGCTAATTGTTTACTTTTTTATGATTGAAGCAACAGAGTTGCTCAAATTGTAAAGTGGGGTGCATGACGACTAACCATTAGCTCAGCGTCTACCATACCGCACGTATTGTGAGAAAATAGAGAAAGCAGACAGTTTTTTGGTCTTGTTGATTTCATTGCTAAAGTAACACACGTAAAAGAAAAAGTTTGACCGCATGCATCTTTAAAAAAATTCCATCTTAAATATTTTTTCCTTCCAAACAATACTATTTAAGGCAAAATAATTTCACAGGGTACATGTATTTGACATCTCGACATCTCGAAAAAAGGTGGATTTTGGCCAAAGAAGACAATATTCCATTATGTATTTCAGTATCCCAATCCAATGGTTAAATCCAATGGTTAAGTTTGATGCAAGCATCTCACAATTTGCACAGCACAGGACCCAGCTTCAAAACTTGCCGGTATAAGATAAAGAGAGCCACAAAATCGTATTCAACAGAGGAATCCATACAGCACTACACCCACTTTGGTACGGACACGCTTCACAAAATAAGAAAATTGTAACTCCCACAAATATTGAATAGATTTTTTTTTTTCAAGCAGTTATAGGGTCACTGTCATAAAGGAAGCCAAAAAAAAAATTGAACAATTGCTTTTCAATGGTACAGCACATAAATTTTCGGGCCCGTGCCAACCTGCTTTTTGTCGCTCTGTTGCGCTTTGAATTTGTGGGTGACTTGCAATTTTTTTCAGAAAGTGTGTCTTTAGGCTATATTTGGTTTTTCATTTTGTTTCTTTCTTTTTCCCACTTTTTTTCCCCACCCATGGGCCATTAAAGCAAAAGCCCTTTTTTGAACAATTGAAAAGTAATTCTTCCATCTTTCATTTTTAACAAAATGGCTTACTGTGCCTGGGAGTTCCCTTATGACAAAAAAGAAAAGAAAAAAAAAAGCCCGAGCCTTAAAAGGAAATGTTACAGATTTTAACGTGAAAAGACAGTCCCTTCTAAACAGCAGCACGTAGGGAACCAAACCTTTCCTGCCAACAATTGAAATGTTCACAGCTGCAAAGACAACTCTTTTTTTTTTGACGAGTACATTGGCCCCTGTGTTCCCATCAATGAAAAATGTTAAGTTTCTTTCCACCAATTTATTTTTTTGTAAATAATTTTTTTGCAGAAAACATTAACCCTATTATACATGGAATTTTGCGTCGGGGTGATATAAATCAAATTAGGTTTTGCCCTTCACCGACGTTTAAACACTGTATACTCAGTGTGTTACC